TCTTTGAGATCTAAGACTGTAAAGTAAGTAGCCCAGCCCGGAATTAAAGCAAGCAGGTTATATGGATTGGGCACGACTGGATGTATACTAACAACCGCATCATTGACTGCTCTCAAGTCCTGCACAGGTCGATACTCATCTGTACCGGGCTTTTGAACAGGCAGCAATGGGGTGTTCCAGGGGGAAGTACAGAATTTTAGGATACCATACCGTATGAACTTATCCAGATAAGATTGGATGTTCTTCTTAGCCTTCTGCGGAATATGATATTGTCTCAGGCTTACTGGATAAACCCCAAGTTTTAGTTCGATTTTAATAGGTGGAATATTGCGGGCCAGTCCTGGTGGGTTGTTCTCTGCCCAAACTCCTGGTATGTTAAATAAGGATTCATCACTCCTCGGGTTTTGGCTAGTCAACACTGTATAAAGTCGCCACTCTTCTTCCTTTGGTACGGACAATGTCATAATACCTGAGGGTCCATTAAACTTTAAGGATGTTGTTCCATTTGGTAGGAACGTAATCTGCGCTTGTAATTTGGATAGCATATCACGTCCCAGCAATTGGACTGGACACTCAGGCATATAAAGGAATTGATGTTTTACTACGTGGCCTCCCAATGTACAGAGTCGACTTTTAAGAACCGGTTTTTCAGCACTTCTTCCAGTTGCTCCTATTACAGTAATAGTTCTTCCAGATGGAGGAGCAACTTGATTAGTCACCACCGAATGTTCAGCACCAGTGTCGATCATGAACGCACTCCTTTTTCCCCCTATTGATACATCGACCATAGGCTCCGCTCGACCAAGGGGGATGGAGCCCGGTCGGTATCAATAGTCCTCCATGACCGTGTCAGCCAATCCCACAAAGTCCCTACCTTCTCTATCGCGGGACCTTTGCGCTGCTGGATAGTACCTATCTTCCCTTACACTTCCTCTGTTCCCATTACTCCCTCTATTACCATTACTCCCTCTATTACCATTACTCCCTCCGGGGCCTCCTCTACCTCTCGCTCTGCCTCTAAAGTTTCCGTAACCTGCCCTGGGTAAGTCTCTCTCATACTGCTCTCTTTGCGGACACTCGTTCCTCCAATGCCCTTCTTCCTTGCAGTACGCGCACTGATTCCTACTCAAAGGCTCCCTATTCCATCTACCATCGCCTCTATCTGGGCCCCGTCTATCTACGCCTGCGATCGCTACCGCTAGCATATCTGCCTTTCTACGCATCTTGCGCTCTTCCTCTTTCTTACTTTCTGTTTCCCTATTCATATATACTTTGTTCGCTACCTCCATTAGTTGGGTGATAGACATACCTGCAAACCCTTCTAATTTCTGTAGCTTGCGCTTAATATCTCCGTAAGCTTGGCTGACAAAGGCGGAGTTTACCATTCGGGAATTATCAGCGTCTTCCGGATTAAAGGGGGTATACAAGCGGTATGCCTCCAATAATCGGTCATAAAAGACACTGGGCGCTTCATCACTTTTCTGAATCACCTCAACTGTCTTCGACATGTTAATAGCTTTCTTCCCTCCGGCTTTCATGCCAGCAATTATAGCATCTCTATAGGCTTTAAGTTGAGCCATATCTGCGCCATTTACATTCCAGTCAGGATCGGTGTTAGGGTAATGTGTTGCGGCCCATGCTGCCGGATTGGCTTGATTTAAAGCACGGGCTCTCTCCTCTAGCGCCTTAATGGCCGCTTGGTTAATCCTTGTCCTTTCCTCATTATTGAACAATGTCATTAATAACTGCTGGCAATCAGCCCATGTCGGGTTATGTGTCTGAACTATCGAGGTGAACAGATCGGTCATAGCTTGTGGTTTCTCAGTGTACGAGGAATTGTGGGTCTTCCAATTCAAGAGATCGGTAGTCGTGAACGGGACATATACGAAGACTGGGTCAGCATGTGCCATTTGACCTGCGGCATCGATATAGGCTGACCCAGGATTCAGGCGAAGAGGCATCTGATAATGTTTTAATTGTTGGGTACCGGTCAGTTGTCGGGTTAGTATGGGGCTACGTGGAGGGGCGTCAGTTAAAGGTTCCGGTCGAGAGGTAATAGGGCATGAGGATGTGGGAACTTGATTTTGGGAAAAGTTAGTGAATAGTATACTCCGAGCCGAGCTAGAAGAAGCTTGACCGGAAGTTTGAAGTGGCGCCAAATCAGGATATTCAGATCTAATGGGGGTTGGTCCTGGTTCCGGAAGGGGAGTTTTAATACGAGGGGGGGTGGATTCTGTACTGGAGGAGGAAGCGGAAGTGGATGGGGGCAATAGGGGAAGGGGTGCAGAACTTCCTGCATTCGCGTCACTTCCTCTTAAAGGAAAGTAAGGGGGCGGCAAAGGGATCTCGGACTCAGGGGGCGTGTCCAAAATGGGCCTAACACCAGTCCTAGTGGACAAACAAGTCCTGGCCACCATGAGGCGACATTGCTCCTCGTGGCATATCCGGATCCATTTTGGCGAGTCGTTTACGGCCTGCCCCAACAATCAATGTATGGAAACTGTCCGTAAAGTTCAGGCCTACCTGATACAGCCACGTGTACACGCTGTACCAGGGTTGGATCCAAACTGCCACGCGGCGGCCATGCCGCAACCAAAATAGGCCACTCCCTAGTGCACAAAGTGACCAAACGTACAGGAGACATTTTAACCCCAAAATCACATGTTTTGAATCCCTTTTTAAAATTCTTTACCATACAACCTAAGGGATCCGAAATCGTTGACTCTGACGCGCCCATACTTATCAATGGAACGTCGTTGACAACGAATACTATGCACGCGTTCTTATTCAACAGTCACACCCGTTTCCTCTGGCAACAGCACCACGTGGTACAGTTACCGAGTGAAACGTACACAATAACACAATAATCACTCAGGGAATTCCCGTACACACACAGCTGTTACACCAGTCACTAAATAATCAATATTATGCCCTTTGGCGAAACTATACAGTCACCCACGCTATAATTCTCTATATATGAATTACCCGTCTATAACACACCCCAGTAACATCGTCTTTTACTAGTATCGGTTACAGTACGGTTAGCATAGGTCAAAGCACAATTTAAGGTCACAATACAATTATTAGTGGTTACGGTGTTAAACATGCAATAGACGACAATGATTAGTACTTATATACAGTGTCAGTAAATATACAGGGTTATGGTACCGTGCACTATGATACAGCAACACACTATTAACACTCTCGCTAGACGGCTGAGCTCGCGCTATCTAACAAGATATACACTTTACTAACAATCTTTAACACATTTACAATCCCAACTAAACTATTGGCCAGTACCTTGAATGGACTACCTAAAACTATATACACCCGTTTTGGTTAGCCACACTGCCCAAACACCACATATAGCGAACTAGAGGGCGAAATTTACAAAATTGCCCTTCTAGTCTATTTACTCTATCAAAAGTCTAGTGGGTTCCAAATTTACACGCCTTCCCACTTAGCCAAGATAGGTTGAGAGCTAGCGAACCGAATTTACACAGGCGCCGCTTAGTCTCCCGGTCCCTCCGACCTAGCGAACGTAATATACACCCTAGAACGCTAGTCTAGACAAGACACCGGTGTCCGGCTAGGGCTATTTACACAGGACCCCGCCTGACTAACCAGATCAAGCGGTCTTACTAAAGAGCGTTCGATCGAGCGGTGCGCCTTCGCTCCTTCCCTCCGACAGAGGGGGCAGATTCCATACACAGATTTAAACCCCTTTTGGGCCTACCGCACAATCGGTATACCCCTAGTGGGTCTGCCGTCTAAAACAGCAGTTGTCTTACCTCCTCGTTCCTGAACCTGAGTTCACACTCATCGACGGGGACACCCCAGCACTTCTTACGTAGAGGCCGATGATCTCCTGGACAACAGACCAGTGGCGCCGAGACGAAGGGAGGTCCACGCAGAAGTTCAGGGGTGCAGCCGTAGAGAACGTGGGCAAAGATAGACCGTCTCACGCCTCTGCCTCTCAGCTACCGTTGAACGATGAGCTTCCCGGCCAATGCACCAAATGATACCGGAGAAACTGACGGAAGCAAAGCACAGAGGGATGGACACAGGTTTCTTCAGGAAGGAAGAGATTCTTTATTGGATCACCGATCGGGACTCAGAGGGACTAATGTCACCAAAAATACAGCAAGTTCTGAGCCCTGAACAATAGTGCAGGCTCCCTATATAGGCACATAACTCCTCCCATATTAAGCTCCACCCGCACATTCTCTTGACCAATCATTACAAATAAGAATTAACTTCCTGCTTGACCGCATGGCTTGTCCAGCACAATGGAGGAGGGGAATACTACATCCTGTATTCTTGCACATGCTCCGTACACTACTGATCGTATCTTGCCTCGTGCAACCAACTGATCGATACGTCAGCATATGCACGTACACATGCCACGTGGTAATCTCGGCCTACTAAATTTATTTTTACCGAGATTCCACCACACCTGCCAGTGTAACAGGATTAGGTATCTACTTGTTCTGGCGCAGCCTTATTTTTATAATATCAGTTATTTGCCCAAAATAAACTGTCTGCGAGAACTTTGCTAGATTGTTATTCGGCCCCCTAATTACATTATTGCACATTTATTTTTTAATGGCGTGATTAGCGCACAGTTAATAATTATATAAAGATACAGGCTGTGCATGTAGTACTGACACTATTACACAAACATGTTTATCAAATGGCTTCTATAACAGTGAGCACACATGTCATCACTGGTAGCCCCGCCTCTGCAAGCCACGCCCACCAGTGACAGCGCCAGTTAGCTCCATCGCCATCTTTGTTGTGGGCATGGCAGACACCTTGAAACTCTCGGCTAGCCTCCTTTATAGCGCGCTCAGCTGCACCAAATCAAACTATTATTCGTACTCCGACTAGTTATCGCACGGAGTGACACAGCTTGGTAACGGTGTGCTATGGTAACAGCGGGCACTGCCCTCACTAAAGATGGCCGACGGTCTCCGCGACACGTTCCAGCGCCACGTGCGGGGCGGGGCCAGGCGTAGGGGGCGGGGCTACGCGCTGTATATGTGACAGAGGGGGCGGTGCTAGGTCAGATAGACCGTGAGGTGTCGGGAGAATCGTTACTGGGTTTCCCGCTTCAACAGTGATTGGACGGAACCCGTTACCGCAAACAGCCGGAACCATGAGCTCCCAGATCCGCCAGAACTACCACCAGGACTGCGAGGCCGCCATCAACCGCCAGATCAACCTGGAGCTCTATGCGTCCTATGTCTACCTGTCCATGGTGGGTAACTAGCCCTCTAACTAGCCCAGACTGACCTGTCCATGGTGGGTAACTAGCCCTCTAACTAGCCCAGACTGACCTGTCCATGGTGGGTAACTAGCCCTCTAACTAGCCCAGACTGGCCTGTCCATGGTGGGTAACTAGCCCTCTAACTAGCCCAGACTGGCCTGTCCATGGTGGGTAACTAGCCCTCTAACTAGCCCAGACTGGCCTGTCCATGGTGGTGGGTAACCTAGCCAGACTGGCCTGTCCATGGTGGGTAACTAGCCCTCCTAACTAGCCCAGACTGGCTGTCCATGGTGGGTAACTAGCCCTCTAACTAGCCCAGACTGGACTGTCCATGGTGGGTAACTAGCCCAGTAACTAGCCCTCTAACTAGCCCAGACTGGCCTGTCCATGGTGGGTAACTAGCCCAGTAACTAGCCCTCTAACTAGCCCAGACTGGCCTGTCCATGGTGGGTAACTAGCCCAGACTGGCCTGTCCATGGTGGGTAACTAGCCCGGTAACTAGCCTGGCCAGCAGGGTAACTAGCCCAGACTGACCTGTCCATGGTGGGTAACTAGCCCAGACTGACCTGTCCATGGTGGGTAACTAGCCCAGACTGACCTGTCCATGGTGGGTAACTAGCCCGGCTAGCAGGGTAACTAGCCCAATAACTAGTCATGGTGGGTAACTAGCCCAGACTAGACTGTCCCAGTAACTAGCCCAGCCTGACCTGTCAATGGTGGGTAACTAGCCCAGCCTGACCTGTCCATGGTGGGTAACTGGCCCGGCTAGCAGGGTAACTAGCCCTCTAACTAGCCCAGACTGGCCTGTCCATGGTGGGTAACTGGCTAGCCCAGACTGGACTGTCCATGGTGGGTAACTAGCCCTCTAACTAGCCCAGACTGACCTGTCCATGGTGGGTAACTAGCCCTCTAACTAGCCCAGACTGGACTGTCCATGGTGGGTAACTAGCCCAGTAACTAGCCCAGACTGGCCTGTCCATGGTGGGTAACTAGCCCTCTAACTAGCCCAAACTGGCCTTTCCATGGTGGGTAACTAGCCCTCTAACTAGCCCAAACTGGCCTGTCCATGGTGGGTAACTAGCCCAGACTGGCCTGTCCGTGGTGGGTAACTAGCCCAGACTGGCCTGTCCGTGGTGGGTAACTAGCCCAGACTGGCCTGTCCGTGGTGGGTAACTAGCCCAGACTGGCCTGTCCGTGGTGGGTAACTAGCCCAGACTGGCCTGTCCGTGGTGGGTAACTAGCCCAGACTGGCCTGTCCGTGGTGGGTAACTAGCCCAGACTGGCCTGTCCGTGGTGGGTAACTAGCCCAGACTGGCCTGTCCGTGGTGGGTAACTAGCCCAGACTGGCTGTCCGTGGTGGGTAACACTAGCCCAAGACTGTGGCCTGTCCATTGGTCTTGGGTAACTAGCCCAGACATAGAAACATAGAAACATAGAATGTGACGGCAGATAAGAACCATTCGGCCCATCTAGTCTGCCCAATTTTCTAAATACTTTCATTAGTCCCTGGCCTTATCTTAGTTAGGATAGCCTTATGCCTATCCCATGCATGCTTAAACTCCTTTACTGTGTTAACCTCTACCACTTCAGCTGGAAGGCTATTCCATCCACTACCCTCTCAGTAAAGTAATACTTCCTGATATTATTTTTAAACCTTTGTCCCTCTAATTTAAGACTATGTTCTCTTGTTGTGGTAGTTTTTCTTCTTTTAAATATAGTCTCCTCCTTTACTGTGTTGATTCCCTTTATATATTTAAATGTTTATCATATACCCCCCGTCTCGTCTTTCCTCCAAGCTATACATGTTAAGATCCTTTAACCTTTCCTGGTAAGTTTTATCCGCAATCCATGAACCAGTTTAGTAGCCCTTCTCTGAACCCTCTCTAAGGTATCAATATCCTTCTGAAGATACGGTCTCCAGTACTGTGTACAATACTCCAAGTGGGGTCTCACCAGTGTTCTGTACAATGGCATGAGCACTTCCCTCTTTCTACTGCTAATACCTCTCCTATACAACCAGAGAAGCATTCAAGACTGGCCTGTCCGTGGTGGGTAACTAGCCCAGACTGGCCTGTCCGTGGTGGGTAACTAGCCCAGACTGGCCTGTCCGTGGTGGGTAACTAGCCCAGACTGGCCTGTCCGTGGTGGGTAACTAGCCCAGACTGGCCTGTCCGTGGTGGGTAACTAGCCCAGACTGGCCTGTCCGTGGTGGGTAACTAGCCCAGACTGGCCTGTCCGTGGTGGGTATCTAGCCCGGTAACTAGCCTGGCCAGCAGGGTAACTAGCCCAGTAACTAGCCCTCTAACTAGCCCAGACTGACCTGTCCATGGTGGGTAACTAGCCCAGACTGACCTGTCCATGGTGGGTAACTAGCCCGGCTAGCAGGGTAACTAGCCCAATAACTAGTCATGGTGGGTAACTAGCCCAGACTAGACTGTCCCAGTAACTAGCCCAGCCTGACCTGTCAATGGTGGGTAACTAGCCCAGCCTGACCTGTCCATGGTGGGTAACTGGCCCGGCTAGCAGGGTAACTAGCCCTCTAACTAGCCCAGACTGGCCTGTCCATGGTGGGTAACTGGCCCGGCTAGCAGGGTAACTAGCCCTCTAACTAGCCCAGACTGGACTGTCCATGGTGGGTAACTAGCCCAGACTGGACTGTCCATGGTGGGTAACTAGCTCTCTAACTAGCCCAGTAACTAGCCCAGACTGGCCTGTCCGTGGTGGGTAACTAGCCCAGACTGGCCTGTCCGTGGTGGGTAACTAGCCCAGACTGGCCTGTCCGTGGTGGGTAACTAGCCCAGACTGGCCTGTCCGTGGTGGGTAACTAGCCCAGACTGGCCTGTCCGTGGTGGGTAACTAGCCCAGACTGGCCTGTCCGTGGTGGGTAACTAGCCCAGACTGGCCTGTCCGTGGTGGGTAACTAGCCCAGTCTGTCCCTTCTCACATGGATGTTTGTATACAGGGAGACTAGCCCAGTGTGTCCCTTCTCACATGGATGTGCTGTGTGTACCTTCTCACATGGATGTAATGTGTACCGGTCCATGGTGTGCATACAGGGAGACTAGCCCAGTCTGTCCCTTCTCTCACATGGATGTGCTGTGTATACAGGAAGACTAGCCCAGTCTGTCACTTCTCACGTCGCATAATGGATGTTTGCCGTGTCTTCAAGGGTGGCCACGGGCTTGGTTCTCACCTGGGGCAGGGCTGCAGCTCCTCTGATGTTGTGACAGCTGATCAGCTGATGTGGGCTACCACTAAACCCTATCCTAGCCTATTTAGACAATAGCAAAACATGTCACACCAAATCTAATTTCTAGGTGTTTTAACACCCATCACCCTCAGCTTGCATTAATGTGATGGTTGTAGCCAGTAGGCTAAAGACTGCAGTTGGTCTGCATGATGAGCTTGGTCGGTGTCATGTTGCATGTAGTAGACCTCTTGGGTTGTAGTTTATGCCATATTGATAGATATTATTCTGGCCTACCATACGCATTTAGATACAGTAAAAGAAATGAGTAACTGTATTATCTAGCCCAAGCAGAGATGTGTTTATCTGCAGACTGCAATGAGTGTTGCTCTCACGGGACTCGTTATAAGGCAGCAGTGATGCGTATGTTGGGTCCTCGGCAGTAGGGCTGAATGTTGCGTGGTTTTGTCAAGGTGTGTTGGTGCAGGGCTGCATTGTCTGAGCAGCTCTGCATGCATCAGCCGCCAGGCTTGTAAACATAAGGTTTCTTGGTTTATTAGGTGAATCTTCTATCTTTTCTCAGTGTGGGGGTCAGTCTGTTCCAGATGATATATTGATTTTACGTTTCAGGGAAGAACCAGTCACTCCAGTAACTGTCCTTCCTAAGGCCTTCATGGCACTTGAGGCGAAGCTCCAGAAATCTGAAAGGGAATGGGAGGTTTGTCCTTGGGTGTCTGGGTTTGTAGGTATAGAAACTGATGGTTTAAACTAGACACAGTAATGAGGCAATCAGTGGTGGAATTAAGACAATAGGTTTATGAAACAAACAGACCTGTGTATATTTTGATATACAGGATGTCACTGTGTAGGTGGGGTGATGTGTTACCCGTGTGTTCATTGTATATTTGTGATCTGACCTTTTTACATGTTGGCTGCACATTGAAGGCCCAGCAATAAAACTTTGCTTGGTTGCCAGACACTAGAAAAGGTCACAGGGATTTTTACTGCTTGAATCTTTCCTCCTCTTCTGTAATGAACGGCTCAGCGTTGACACTTTGACTGTCTGGAACCTGTCCTACTGATCTCCAAAACGTAACTCAATGCTGTGAAATCTGCAAACACTGTAACTTAATGTTGTGTAACCCAGAAAATCATGTGCATATTTTCATAACTTTTATTTCAACACAATCAGATTAACGGTGAAGGGACCATTAAAGAAATTTCCAGTGGTCACATTTGGATGACGCTGCAGATGTTTGCAGTTCCCATTGTGCGCAGCCAGCTCTTGCTATATGGCAATGCAGATATTTCCTTGCTGAATCCTGCTGGTGCCAGTAATTTCTCCTAATCAATACACGAGACCTGTATGAAACATCCATTTCCTGAAACTCGAGTTGGCTACTGCTAATGGATCCAATGACACGGTGTTATTTGCATGTTATCAGTAGGTTTGCAGTTGATGCTTTGACATCTTGCCAGGGAAGCGTTCGCTTAGCAATGTAACGGCAGCCTTGTGCAGAGAGGTACAAAGACGCAGTGACCTCTAAGCATCCGGGGGAGCCTGTTTGTGTGTACACGTGGGTATGGCTGGGAATTTGTGCCATGTGCACACATGATCCTCAAGGATTGTGGTGCCCTCTGCTGGGTGTAGGCTGTAAGTCTTAACATAATATGAGCTGTAATATTGCAAATGTTCCCTTATAGAAAATAATGTGATCTAAATGGATCACAGGAGTCTACATCTGAAGCTGAATGTATTGTTTTCTTGAGAGCGTGCAGGATTAATTTTCCCTTTAGCCATCTGTTTAGTCTACAATGGAAACACATGAATATCATAACCTTAAACTGATCCAAATGCTTCATGCCAGCTGTCCTTCGATACAGTGGGGCTCATTCACTACACTCTGTTCCAGCCAATTAAAATCCAAATGGCTGGGTGCGGAAAGTCTCCAATGTGGGTGTAATCACAGCCTATCTTTTTGTCTTTCACAAATGTGTTGTTGACTGAATGCTTGTCTTGGGTCTATTGCTTGTAGTATTGATAAATAGTAAGCAAAATAAATTGTACAGTCAATCTGCTTCACAAAGCTCACTAGTGACTCAATGCCATGGATGCATTCAATCTGATCATGGTGCAAGCATTAATGTGCTTTCATAACACTATTGTGCCCTAATCACCAGGTCCCTGCTGCCACAGTTAAAGGGACACTACAGGCACCCATATGATCTCATTAAAGTGGTCTGGGTGCAGTGCCTCTGTCCGCCTTAGTCCTGCAATGTAAATCATTGTAGTTTTACAGTAACCGCTATGATTATTTTGTAGGACTGCCTCCGGTGGCTTTCTCTCAGGCAGCAACTAGAGGCAATTCCAGGGTTCCAAGCGACTCTGAGTCCCTTAAACTTGCTGGACATCCTTGCGCTCTGCATGGATATACTGCGTCACTGAAATCTTCATAGGAATGCATTGATTAACTGCTTTCCTACGGGGATAGCCTGATGCGCTTGTGGCGAATGCATGTTGGTTTCCCCTTTGGATGATGTCTGAGAAGGCAGGGACTCTGGTGCTGGTATTGGGTAGGTTGCTCTGGCTGAGGTCTGGACCGGAGATGGCGTCAGATAATCTGCTAAAAATAGTTTTACTCTATTACTCAAACTGCTCTAGTGGCTGTTGGTATGCCAGCTAATAACAGCAGGCTAACCTTGCAGTGAAATCATTGCTGTTTCTGCAGGACCATAACGTTTTCAGCTGCAGTGTTAAAACTGGTGGGGTTATGAAATGGCTCCATGCTCAGTTTGCTGTGGCACTTTATCAAAGAATACACTTGCATTAATGTGATGGTGGTAGCCAATCGGCCAGACTGCAGTTGGTTTGCATGATGGGCTTGGGCGGTGTCATGTTGCATATAGTGGACATTTTGGGTTGTAGTTTATTCCATATTGGTAGATATTATTCTGGCTTACCATACGCGTTCAGATACAATAAAACAAACGAGTAACTGGGGTGTTATGAAATGGCTCTAGGCTCCATTTGCCGTGGCACTTTATCATTAAAGAATACACTTTCTTACATGGGTGTTGGCTTTAACTTATTCTAAGCTGCATGCTGGGCAACAGTCACTACTTCAGTTTCAGCTATATTCTGAAACTAATATTATATGGACTACTTACAGTAGCTGTCACCTCAAACTTGCCTTTCTCCTATTGCTTTGTCTTTCTTTTAGAATTTATTTAATTTTTTTTTTTTTTTTATTTCTGACTTAAATTCTTTAAGGAACTAATTTGTCTTTCCTACACTTGACAATTGTGTAATAAGTGAAGTTTGCCTTAAAGGGGACACTATATAGTCACTCAGACCACTTCAGCTCAATGAAGTGGTCTAGGTGCCAGATACCCCAGGTTTTAACCCTTCACATGTAAACATAGCAGTTTCAGAGAACCTATAGTGGCTGTCTTCCTGACAGCCGCTAGAGGTGCTTCTGCCACGCTGGATGGGAAATTCGCATTCAGCGTGCAGAACGTCCATAGGAAAGATTCGAGAAATGCTTTCGTATGGACTGTTAGAATGCGCGTTCTGCTTTACTTGGGAGCTGATGCCGGTGGGGGAGGAGAGGTCACTGGCGCTGGATTAAGGTAAGTGGCTCAAGGGGGACCATGAGGGTCCCCCAAGGATTATATAGTGTGAGGGGAAAACAAGTGTTTTCCTGACACTATAGTGATCCATTAAGATTCTCCCTTTTGACACAATTGTCAAGCGTAGGGAAAATACATAGTTCAAAGTAGTCACTACTTTGTCTTTATATTTTAAAAGGGATTAGGTCCTAGAGAAAACCATAGTAGAAAGGAAAGTATGAGGTGACACACTTTAATCCTAATTGGGGGTTAGTTGAAGTTTCTTGTATTCCCTGCATTATTTTTATTTTACTCTTATTTTGTTTTTTTTCTATTTAGTCCTATTACTTCGACCGGGATGATGTGGCGCTGAAAAATTTCTCAAAGTACTTTCTGCACCAGTCCCACGAAGAGCGAGAGCATGCAGAGAAACTTATGAAACTACAAAACCAGCGCGGTGGGCGTATATTCCTGCAGGACGTGCGGGTAAGAATGGCAAAATGAATTGTACTTCTGTTAAGCGAACTTACTTGGTGCATGTCTATGGGAGTTAACTTGCATAACATGTGACTGGGCTTAGTATGAGTGTTCTGAATAGCACTTACAGTTGGGTGACTTCTAATTTGTTGAAATGTTTTTCATTGATTCATTGCTCATATTCATGCTGTAACTTGATAGCTGAACATCTGATTTGGACTTGTCCTAGCAGACTTTTCACAATGCTATCGATGGCTACCAGCACTGTTACACACTCATTAAACGCTTGCTAGCAGAACCAAATGTTGCCAGATATATTGACTTGGTCTCTGGAGTTATAGCTTGCCAGGATTCATGTGACCTGTTAAAATGACCAAATACAAGGGGAAGCCTGGAGTAGACATTACAGAATATCTGCTAACCAACACTGTGTTGGTGTTGTCCTATTGTAACTTACCAGTAGTTTTTCTTGCTGCAGCTTGGAATACAGGATCTCAATTCATAGAAATGGTTCACATGTATCACAGAAGTGGCAAGTCAAACTAAAATAACAAAATAGATCTTGCTTTATTTATGTATAATTGCATGTATTTTACTCCTTTTGCCATCAACTTTAGTTCGATTTGCCACTGCTGTGATTCACCTGAACTCTTCCTAATTTGTTTGGGATAGTGGGGGCCCACCTGTGCTATTCCAGTGTGCAACACATTTATTTATTATGAATATGAAGTTGGGTTATCGCTATCATGGTGAAGCTAATCTTCTTACAGTGCTAGTTAACATGGAGTTTAGATGCCTGGCACAAGCTCTCAGGACTCTGTCTATAGGCTTGTTGGTGATCTAGCCGGAGCCATTACCTTTCCGACGCCCACTAATTCTATCAATTAACTGATTGATTGACAGAAACCAGACCGCGATGAATGGGGAAGTGGTCTAGAGGCTCTAGAGTGTGCCCTTCAATTGGAGAAGAATGTTAACCAGTCACTGTTGGAGCTACACAAACTATCCACAGATCGCAATGACCCCCATGTGAGTACAAACTAATCTTAGGCATTTTTATTCTGCCCTGTTTATAGCATGGCAAATCAACACTGTGTGCTGTTCAGTTGTACAGTATAAATTAACAAGTTTGTTGTGTTCAGACTCCTTGTGTAATTGTGTGGATGGTGTTGCATTGTAGGAGTGTATGTGGATTGTCAGTCATGTGAGCTGTTTGGATTATAGTAAGAGGGGGAGGATTCTTCTGCGTGCGTGTGTGTGTGTGTGTGTGTGTGTGTATATATAGCAGTTTGGATCGCTGCCATGGGTGCCGGGCTGGTCAGGTAAAGGTCAAGTGCTGGAGCTGGGTTAGCTGCTGTACTCCAGTACAGGTCACATTTACAAAAGTGCCTAATTGTATGTTTCAATGGGGTATAACTACCAAACAGTAAGGATGTTAGTTTTTTTTTTTTTTTAAACTTGGTCAGTGGTGTGAGCCTTTTAAACACCATGTAGGACTTCACAAAGGCAACAGTAGCTGTAGTATTGACATTGAGGAGCTTGCTTCCTTCACCCCCACTTCTTTCTATAGCAGCTAGTTAAATATATCCATCATCAAAGAATGCAATGAATGAAGGTGTACACTGCCTTCTGGGAAGTGTTCTTTACTGCCAAGTGGGCCTGAAATGAACTTCAGATAAAATCATAATTGGTGGCTTGACGAGCTGTGTCTAACTTGGATACGCACTTTGTTCAGATGTCCTTGTATTTGATCGAAGTTCTGTTGCATTTACCACATCGCCTGTTGACCGCAGAGTTAAGATGGGAGAGAAGCTGCCTTTATTGTCAAACTTAGTGACTCACAAAGTCACAATCTGTGGAGTGATTGCCAGAACACTTATTTTATGGCATGTGTTTTATTTATTTTTATTCAAGCAGTACACTTCTCCCACCATTCTTGTTCTTTACTTCCTGTATCTTAATTTTTCAGCTCTGTGACTTCCTGGAGACTCACTACCTGGATGAGCAGGTGAAATCCATGAAAGAACTGGGAGATCATGTGACCAACCTACGCAGAATGGGGGCTCCTACAAATGGCATGGCAGAGTACCTCTTTGATAAACACACACTGGGGGAAAGTCATGACTGAAGGCTGAATATCTTTCTCTGCATGCTCAACTTTAAAATGTCTGTATAATATTTGAGATCACTTACTCCTGCTCCTATTTTGGCACAAATAATAAAAAAAAAATATATAGACTTGGATATTGTCTCTAGATATTAATAGTTCAAATGTGACACTACATGGTGTGGGTGACAGGAACAATCATTCCATCCTGGTAGTAGCTCCATGTGAGATGTAAGGCATATGTTGCTATAGGCTAGGCATGTGTAGACACAAACATAAAGTTTGAGCATTGATTAACATGCTGTGTCGGCTTGGCACATACACATGGTAAAGCAGTGGCCCGATCAATGAATGGGTGTAGAACTAGCAGTTTTTAGTAAGCCATTGCAAAGCTGGAACGGGTGGGAGGAAAAAACAGAACCTAAAATGTTCAGTGGGTTGTTTCACCAGTGCAGTTTACAAACTACATGTGGTCTTGATGATCAAAAAAAAAAGCTAAAACGTCTTTAAGTACTAATAATAAATGCTCACATTAAAAAAATCTTATAGCACTGTGGGTTATTTTTTGAACTCTGAACCGAAAGGTTACTACTGAAGTCTGAGTGTGATTCAAGTGCCTGATCTTGAGTGATGTGAGGCTTTGTGTATGTTAAGAGTGGGAGACTTCTGTGTATTGCTGCTTTAACTCCTTGACTGCTGACTCTTAACTGTTTTTAATTCTGCAGAATATACAGAATTTAGCACTTTTAGGTTGTTTTTTTTTAAACTAAAAGATTTACTGTAATCACTTTTGTATAAAAAGTGCATGGCAAATAAGTGTTTGTCTCTAATACATTGAAGAGCAAATGGTTAATGCATTTGAGCAGGGCTTGACAAGTTTGCTTAGAATCTAGGAGTCAGATTTTTCAACGTTAAATACAATTCTTAAAGGGACACTAGTCACCAGAACCATTGCAGCTTAAACTTGTGACATATGCCATATCGGGTACATCCAACAAAACAGTCGTTAACTACCTCGGATGTACCTGATACATCCACAGCGAATTAGAGCGCTGGAAGCTTTTCCCCTCTCAAATACTTTTCCCCAATTTCCCCATCTTTTCCCCTCAGAGAATTTCCCCCTCTTTTCCCCTATCTTCCCCTCAGAGAATCTTCCCCCTCAAAGATTTTTCCCCTCTTTTCCCCTTAAAGATTTTCCCCCTCTGAATTTTCCCCTCAAAGACTTCCCCCTCTTTTCCCCAATTTTTTTCCCTCAAAGACTTCCCCCTCTTTTTCCCTCAAAGAATTTTCCCCTCAAATAATTTTTCCTCATTCTTTTCCCCTCTTTTCCCCTCAAAGAATCTTCCCCTCTCCGAGAATCTTCCCTCTTTTCCCCTCTCATAACTTCCCCTCAGAGAATTTCTTTCCCCTCAAAGAATTTTTCCCTCTTTTCCCCTCAAATGATTTCCCCATTCTCTCAGAGAATCTTCCCCTCTCCGAGAATCTTCCCTCTTTTCCCCTCTCATAACTTCCCCTCAGAGAATTTCTTTCCCCTCTCAAAGAATTTTCCCCCTCAAAAAAATCCCCCTCAAATAATTTCCCCAAATTTTTCCCCTCAAATAATTTTCCCATCTTTTCCTCTCAGAGAATCTTCCCTCTTTTCCCCTCAGAATTTCCCCCTCAAAGACTTCCCCCAATTTTCCCCCCTCAAAGAATTTTCCCTTCAGACTTTCCCTCTCTTTTCCCCAATTTTTTCCCCTCAAAGAATTTCCCCTCGAATTTTTCCTCATTCTTTTCCCCTCTTTTCCCCTCAAAGAATCTTCCCCTCTCAGAGAATCTTCCCTCTCAGAGAATCTTCTTTCTTTTCCCCTCTCATAATTTTCCCCTCAGAGAATTTCTTTCCCCTCAAATAATTTTCCCCTCAAATAATTTCCCCCTCTTTTCCCCTCAAATGATTCCCCCATTCTCTCAGAGAATCTTCCCCTCTCAGAGAATCTTCCCTCTTTTCCCCAATTTTTTCCCTCAAAGAATTTTCCCATATTTCCCCATCTCACAGAATTTCCCCCTCTCATAATTTTCCCCTCAGAGAATTTCTTTCCCCTCTCAAAGAATTTTCCCCCTCAAATAATTTCTCCCTTTTTTCCCCTCAAATATTTTTCCCCTCAAAGAATTTTCCAATCTTCCCCCTCAGAGAATTTTCCCCCTCAGAGAATCTTCCCTCTTTTCCCCTCAGAATTTCCCCCTCAAAGACTTCCCCCTCTTTTCCCCAATTTTCCCCCCTCAAAGAATTTTCCCTTTTCCCCTCAATTTCTTTCCCTCTCAAAGAAATTTTCCCCTCAGGCTTTCCCCTTTTCCCCAATTTTTTTCCCTCAAAGAATTTTCCCATCTTTTCCCCTCTCACAGAATTTCCCCCTCTCACAGAATTTTCCCCTCAGAATTTCTTTCCCCTCAAAGAATTTTCCCTCTTTCCCCCTCAAATAATTTCCCCCTTTTTCCCTCAAAGAATTTCCCCATCTTTTCCCCCCCGGAGAATTTTCCCCTCGGAGAATTTCCCCCTCAAAGACTTTTCCCCAATTTTTCCCCTCGGAATTTTCCCATCTTTTCCCCCAAAGAATTTTTCCATTTTTTTCCTCTCAGAGAATTTCCCCCTCATAATTTTCCCCTCAGAGAATTTCTTTCCCCTCTCAAAGAATTTCCCCCCTCAGAAAATCCCCCCTCAAAGAATTTTCCCTCTTTTCCCCCTCAAATTTTCCCCTCAAAGAATTTCCCCTCTTTTCCCCCTCATAATTTCCCCTCAGAGAATTTTACCATATTTTCCCCTCAGGGGATTTTCCCCTCAGGGAATTTCTCCCTCTTTTCCCCAATTTTTCCCCCAAATTTTTTTCCCTCAAAGAATTTTCCCATCTTTTCCCCTCAAAGAATCTTCCCCTCTCAGAGAATCTTCCTCTCTCAGAGAATCTTCCCTTTTCCCCTCAGAATTTCCCCCTCTTTTCCCAAATTTTCCCCTCTCAAAGAATTTTCCCCTCTTTTCCCCCAATTTTTTTTTTGGGGGGGTGGGGGGGGGTTTATATAAATATGTTTTTTTTTTTTTTTTCTTCCTGGAGATAGTTAATACAGTATCTGATTCAATTATCTCCCAGGCAGAGGGGAGGGATTGTATGTTTGTTATGGGAGTGTCATGCGTTTATGACTGGTCTGTGACTATTGCAGATCTGTTACCTACAAGGTCCATGTGGGCGTACCCCTTGCATGGATATTGTCATATAAGGCGAAGTGGGGCACCATTATCCTCAACACAGAGCCTTGTCTTGTGACAGAGGGAACCGCTATACCAGCTATAATCCCTGCTCTTGGGATTGCTCTTTGGAGTGCTATAATCACTAGCTCTCTTTTAAGAGCTGTTCTTGCTATACTCTCTGAAGTAGGAGAGGTTCACCCACTGGAAGCTGAATCCTGGTCTTGGGTCCTGGGTGGGTGGTGGACAGCGAGATCCCCAACCACACTGGCGGTTTGTGGGAGTCTATGGTGTTGATGGTGTCTATTGGAGTCCTCAGTGAGCATTGATTGGCAGAGGCACCCAGTCGGGGTGCCAGGCAGTCTGTCACAGCCACTACATTTGATTAATAGAGATAAAGACTATCTAATTATGGAGGAGATGCACTGGTCCTCCACAGGTCGTAGACAAACATTTACCAAAATATGGTCGCTTTGGATGACCTACCGGAATAAGGAACTGGGGGTAGCATGGGGAAAGTCCCACTTTCAGGGGGGCCACAAAAAATGCCGCCTTATTTGCCAAGGCAAATGCTTTGTTTGCCTCACGGCCTGGAGCAAGAGGTGGATGGCTGGCTCATAAACAGGGCTGGACTGGGGATACAGTGCAGCTGAGGAGATGCTGATTGGTGTAGCGTTTTGCAGCCAATCCTATGGCAAAGCATTGGATTGGCTGAGATCATCAAACTTCATGATCTCAGCCATAGAGGCGGGGCCAGTCGAGGGGAGACCAGCATGGCGTGGGAAAAAAAAGGTTAGTAAAAACACTATTTTTAAACACACAGACACACACACCTTGACAGACCATGACACAGATAGACACCATGACAGACACACACCATGTGTGGCAATCAGACATCCCTGCAGAGTATGTAAAAACCCTGGTGCTGGACTAAGGCGTGACGAGGGCAATAACATTTTAGTTAAAACATTTGTCTGTGATACCGAGATGTCTGATTGTCTTACATGTAATTGTAACAAATTTACAAGTTGCACACACTGCTTTGCATTGCTATTATTGCATGACCAATATTGTAACCCTGTATTTGATCGTGATGAATAATAAATACAAATTCAATTTAAAAATATATATGTACAATACAACAGAAGTTTAGTAAATAAAAATATATTTCTTTTCTACAAAATGAAAATCTGTTTTGCTTTGATTTCTATATTAAATTCCTGCAATATAAGGTACTTTTTCTGCTTATGATCAGTCTGACACTTTTTATGGTATTTTTAAAGTACTTTTAAAAATTACTAGTTTTTTAAAATGTTGGTTTGGTTTCCTGACACTAACACCAGACTGTCACTCTTCCAACTTTGGAACTTAGTTTAAAGGGTTTTTACACAAAATACTTTCAATGTTTTGTCCTTTAGTCACACCACAAATAATTCATAAGTAGGACGCTTCTTTCATTCTTGCACAGGAAGGTTTCCAGATTTCCATGGACTAGTAAATGGGCGACTGCTAGCCTATCATTCGTTCATTCCTTCTTGCTCAGAGGGTTCTCCAGCTTCCATGATAACTTCCATTAGCTCTGTAAAGTCTCCCTCAGCTAAACTAATCCCTGAGTCTTTGGGAGAAGGACATTTAGCTCCACGTTGATCCTTACCACTCTCCGTGGTTCCGTCATTCTGTCCCTGGCTAGTACAAGATGTTCTGGAAGCCCTTTCCAAAGTTGGAGAAGTAACGGGAGAAAATGAAAAGATAGAACGAGATACTCGGTGTCCTGGCGTGTGCAGAACATCAGTTGATGCCTGTGCTGGATTCCCAAGAAATAACGAACTAACCTGCTGACTTCTTGTTAGTCTTTTGGGTGCAGGACTCTGCATTCCCACAACGTGCTCAGTTTGTAGGGTGGGTGTACTACCAGTATTACATACAATTTCCTTCTCCTCTTCCTCCATACTTCCAGGAGGCCACACAAAGCATTGCTTGGATCCAGGAGATAAACTAGACAATTCATCTGCTGTGTCACACGTGGGCCCCTTTTTCCTAGTCCATTGCGTGGAGCAAAGTGTTGGGTTGCCATTACCAGGGAACCGCTGAGGACATATTGTAGGGACTCCATTAAGTGGAGTTTGAGGGGCGCTATAAAACCCTGGCCTCTCATAGAAAGGTGTGGACATAAAAACATTAAGGTCTCTCAGTGCTTCTCCACTCCTAAGGTTATTTATGTCACGATGGATGAAATGCGGAACCCCACTTCTTCGTCTCATTAGCAAGCTCAAGCGCGAGTTGGCCCGTGGTGGGCTTGGAGAATGGACTCCCAAGAAACGTCCAAGAGGTCCCAGGAGTGGGGTAGAGTGATTGGCCTCCTCATTTTCATTAATCTGTTCAAGAGGCTGAAATTCCAAATCTTCTTTCTGTAAACTGGAAAAACAATAAACAAATGACTAGATTACGTGTGCAGAGTTATATTAGTTATATTTGTTAATGTGGTGTAAACAACGGGCATTTCTTCTGCTATTTCTCATCAGTGTTGACACCTATGAGCTGGCTGCCCATTCATGGAAAAGGGTTAGGCAAATGTATTTCCATCATAACTACTGCTGCAATTGATCATACTCTAGGAGTATTGGAGAGTAAGAAATGCCCCCCTTGTAAAATGCCCTGTACTATACTGTATGGATAGATTATAACGATAGATAGACAGACATTACAGAAACCACAAGGACAATTTTATGGTTTTGGAAAAATTAAACAGACTCATTTTTTTCATTATGGATTACATGCATGTAGTGATAGTTCATTTTATTATTAACTATATTAGAATTAGAGGGTCTGTGTCAAATATATACAGGGTAATTAACTAAACACCAGATGTTGTCCGGATGGACAAAATCTGGTGAAAATGTCGGAATTTCAAACGGAATTGTAATTCTCGTATTTACTAAAGCAAATTCCGGTCAGAATTCAGTCAGCCTGACTGAATTTTCATCTATCGGCCAAATGCATTTAGTGTCTGGTTGAAAACCTGTATTTTCGTATCCGAGCGCTACACAAAGTGTAGGATTCTGGGTATGTTCATAGCACCAGCTTTACAATGATTGCAGAGTAGGATGTTCACAAATTATTATTCCATTTCTTTTTGCAAGCAAATGATAATTTGAAGTACTTTTTCACATTGCCAGCAATAGCAGCTAACAGGCCAATAGTTTTAAAAAAACCTTTGGCTGCGCAAGGGTTTGCCATGTTGCGTCTGACCAGCAGTTACAAGTATGCCTCCACATTAAAAAAAAAGTGTAAAACAAAAAAATAAATAAGCCTGTGAGGGTCAATATCACCCCGTTATTACTACAAGGGAGGTTTAAAACTCCCCTTATGCCTCCATTTGTCACTATATGACAAGTGGGAGCATATATGGAGGTACACTATATGGACAAAAGTATTGGGACACGACCATTACACCAACAGGGACTTTTATGACATTGCACTCTAAATACTAATAATATTCTAAATACTAATATGTAGTTGGTCCCCCCCTTGGCAGCTCTAACAGCTTCCACCCTTCCGGTAACGCTTTCCTCAAGATTCTGGAGTGTTTCTGTGGGAACTGTTGCCCATTCATCCAGTAGAGCATGTGTGAGGTTGGGCACTGATGTTGGACTAGAAGTTATGGCTCACTATATCTGTTCCAGTTCATTCAAAGGTGTTCGATGGGATTAAAGTCAGGGCTCGGTGTGGGCCAGTCAAGTTCTTCCACATCAAACTCATCCAACCATGCCTTTACAGACCTTGCTTTGTGCACTGGGGCACAGTCATGCTGGAATAGAAAAGGGCTTTCCCCAAACTGTTCCCACAAAGTTGGAAGCATAGCATTGTCCAAAATGTTGTGTTGTGCTGAAGCAATAAGGTTGCCCTTCACTGGTAGTAAGTTGGCACAATGCAGTCACGCAGGTAATATTCTCCTGGCATCCGTCAAACTCAGTCTCGCCCTTCAGTCTGCCAAACAGAGAAGCATTATTCGTCACTGCACAAAACACACTTCCACTGCTCCATAGTCCAGTGTTGCATGCTTTATACCACTTGATCCGACGCTTGGCATTGTAATTGAAGATGTGAGGCTTGCATGCAGCTGCTCGGCCATGGAAACCCATTCCTGAAGCAACCGCCGCATAGTTTGTGTGCTGATATTATTGCCAGTGGAAGTTTGAAACTCTTCAGCTGGAATAAACAGAGTGTTGGTGACTTTTACGCACCATACGACTCATCACTCAGTGACCCCGCTGTTACTTTACGTGGTCTTCCGCCTCGTGGAGTTGCTGTTCCTAAACGCTTCCACTTTTCAATACTACCACTTACAGTTGGCCGTAGAATATCTAGCTGGGATGAAATTCACGAACTGGATTATTGGTGGCATCCTATCACAGTATCACCCTTGATTTCACTGAGCTCTTCAGAACAAGACAGTTTATTTCACAAATGTTTGTAAATGCAGACTGCGTGGCTACGTGCTTGATTTTATACACCTGTGGCATTGGGCCTGATTGAAACACCTGAATTCAGTAATAAAACGTGTGTGTCCCAATACTTGTGTCTATACAGTGTATGTCTACTAAACAATTAGCAGCCTGTGGCTGCTCACTGTAACTAAAAGTAGTGGCAGGGAAGCCATTTCTGCACCACTCACTAGAAAGACCGTGGTAATGTGGGAATGTGACCGGCAGATTAATGCAGAGGGGACCTGCATTCTCTCTTGACAGCAAGGGCGAATAATGTCAATGGAAGAGGATTGGGTTGAGGGACAACTTGCGCTGGAATCGAGGTAAGTTTATGCTCTTTTGAATGAGTTGTACCAGCACAGCACGGCTTACTCCAAACCTTTTTAAATATATGTATTTTAAAATTTACAATGCCTTGAGCATTAGCAATTAGTTCCCCTTACCCCTTATAAACCTGTAAAATAAGAAGAGCGTCCCTCCACTCGCTGGTTTCCACATACCCTTCTAACATCACTGCTTTTCTCAGGAGGTCCAATTAAATCAAAGATTCACATATAGCAGCATTTGATTGAACTGCGCATGCATGCACTCTGAGCCAGGTATGGGAGGATGGGATGGAGTTGGGGGTAGACAAGGAAAAGAGGAAGGGAGGGAATTACAATGAAATCAAATATTAGGAAATGGAGAGAGGTGGGTGGGATCATAGCAGGGAAAGAAAATTAGGCTGTCTGAGTTACATGTGCCAAAGGTGCAACTAGCCGCCGGCACAAAAATTAAAATATCTTTGCATGTGCAGCTTTTCAAGCATTAGGATACCTGTCACAATTATTACTTCTAAAAGCATAAGTGGTCATGGTGGTTGGAGTAACGCTTTAAGCAATATTACTTTATTATTTCAGGGAGCGCTGTAAAACGTTGCTCCTTTTTTCTCCCAGAGAAGTTGCAAAATGTTTAAAGTAATTATCCGTGTTCTGGTTTGCATTTGTAAGTCACATTTTTGCAGGTTTCAAATTTGATCCCAATGCATCTAAAATGGCTGTTTACATTATCTCGCTGCTGTACTTTATAAACATGCCTGCATTTATCCCTTGGTAATCTCCTCTGAGTTTTCAGCCAAGTCTCAGTGTTGGAATAATCCTAAAATTCACCTCGAGTACTGCTGAAATTGACACCAATTCTCATTCCTTCAATAGAAGGAAAGTTATCAACCACAAATCAAATTGATTTCCCACATATTAGTTTTTCTTGCACCCTGGATGAGAGGAGGGTGTTAGGGTTAGCAGTTAGGGTTAGTAGTTGTGAAGAAATCCCTCTCTATGTATAATATTTCTTACATATTCATTCTGTAGATATAACTACCGAACAGAGACCACCCCCTGGCTTGTTAAACTTCCATGAATGCTTCAATTAAACCCTCTATCTGTGCGGCCAGCGTTCGTACTACCGAACGCCACGTGGCTGAGAAAACGGTGGCGATCTTTTTTCAGGTGAACAAAGGCAGCGGGACTTGGTCGTCGAGTGTCTGGAACTAAAATCGGACACTCGACTTCCCGAACACCGGTCTCAATAAGCGAACGCTGGATCTCTACTTCCCGAATAGCTAGAAGAGCGCTATTCGGTATTTTGTGCATTCGAATGAGGGGAACAATCGCTGCTAAGAGCCAGGGGAATTCATTTGTGGAATTATTCTGTTTTTGCCCCTTTACTGAATAGACCGGCACAACCACCCAAACTCCTGGAACTATTTTGGGCAGCCAGCTCGCGGTTAGCCGGTCACAAAGGACTTCCACACTTTTTGAGAACCCCTGAACTGATCTGGGTGAAATTTGAATATGTTGGTCACCCAGATCGGGGCTATCAGGGGACATATTATTTGTGGGGATACCCCATATCTAAAGGGGTGTTCTGAATATTGGGGAAAATTGTGATTTTTCTGCCTGGAGATAATTAAGTTATTACTTTATCAGACTTGATTATCTCCAGGACTAGGGGAGTGAATTGTATGTTTTACTGTTTTCCTGTAACTGATTGGTTATACTGTGTCCCTCCCTGTGGGATGTCCCCTTGCATGGGGACTTGCATAAAAGCCTGTGTGTGATCATTAAATGCGAGTTCTGTTATACCCTTCTTCTTGACTTTGGCTGATGTTTTGGGTTTCGTATGCTTTATTAAGGGAATTATCTTATAAAGCGATGTGTATGGATTTTATTTCATCTACCAAACGGAGAGCTATACTCACTGATGCTCTGGTCGTTCGGGAGGAAACTACTGAATGAGGATTGAATATACTAGGTTTCCTTACAGTAGTACTTAATAATTTGCCCGCTACCTTCTACATTAGCCCTATCTCTCACTATTTCTCACTATCTCTCACTATCTCTAACTATCTCTCACTATCTAACTATTTCTCACTATCTCAGCATCTCTCACTATCTCTCAGCATCTCTCAGCATCTCTCACTATCTCTATTTCTCACTATCTCTCACCATCTCTCACCATTTCTCACTATCTCTCACTATCTCTCACTATTTCTCACTGAAGTAATGCTTGTAGTAACAGCACAGCAAAAAATATCGCTAATCAGAAAGTTCACTCATGAAAAGGCACTTTGGCATGTGCCACAAATGCATTAAATTCAGGGCCTTAAAAGGTTAAAACCAATCCATGAAATGTCAATAAATGCCAGGATTAAAACAGGAATTCCTCCCTATAGTTACAAAAATGGTGCAGATTTATCTAACATATCCTGATTACTTTTATTGTAGCTTGTATTTTTGTAAATTAAAAAAAATTGGAATTCCCCTCTGTAAGTTAATTAAAAAGAATAATTACATTTGTCTCTAAGTACAGATATCTCTGTAATAAAGCGTTAAGTAAATGTTAGAATCAGATGCTGATAACAGCAAACAAATTGTTGGCTTGTATTTCCGAGTATGTGTCTGTGTTAGTGTGTACAACATCAACAACGGAGGTTACTCCAAGCACCAAAACCAGTTCAGTGATTTGAAGTGGTCATGGTGTAAGGAAGTGAAATGGTTAACTCTTTTTGCTTTATATGCTTTAAAATAATGTTTGAAATAATTATGCTGACTTTGGCAGATGTATTTTGTACCAAGGTCTTTCCTCTACAGGATGTATGACCTTCCTTGACCTTAGGATGTTCCTGTCTCGTCTTCATCCAAATGCTTATCTTTTTCATGTCCGACAAGTATGTACTATTAACCACAAGGACACTATAGACTTCACTGCTTGCATGAGAAATTGTGTATAAATGCTAGCCCTGAAAATATACTCATTGAGAACTTGTTATGCACTCTTTCGTGTCTGTGTGTCTTATTTGCTAAACAAGATCTCCCATCAATTGATGTGGTGATCGAAGGAGCGAGAATCGAGGGGAGTTGAGTCCAGAACAGCATTTATCCTTTCACATGGTGCCTGGAGTCTGTATGTGCCGTGTTTCGCTTTGAAACACTGCGCGTACAGAGTTTAAGCCTTCTGATGTCAGAGGTGTAACTCCACCTCGGGCAGCGCCATTGAAGTGTCATCAGACAGGCAAGAAGTAGAGTTATGGGCTGGCTAATGTTAATTGTGTGCACTGAATGTCAGTCATTGGTTGAGAGCGGTCAGCTGGTGCTTTCAGCCAATGAACTGAGATGGCCGTAGTTTCACCGGACCACCAGGGAGCTTTGGAGCTCGTGGGCACCAAGGCAAGAGGGCAAACTGTTTAGTAATAGTGTACCCCATTATCGGTGAATCAGGACAGGATATTCCTGGCATCATGACCAGTACAGCGAGCTGCGGTGGTCATGATGCTTAAAGGGACACAGTATGCACGGTATCTGCTTCATCTCATTAAACTGGTTATAGCGTCTCGAGTCCCCTGGTACCATAATTTCTTTCAGCATTAAACAGTTTTTAATGTTGTAATGTTTTAATGCTAAACAAGAGTCCCTGGCAATCCATCCCCTCTGTGCTGCTTTGGCTAATAAGGAAGTATTAGCCTGAGCAGCAATAGGCAGCTGTGATTGGCTGAGAGTGTCAGCTGACTGCTTTTAACCTGTCAGAGCTCCAACTGACAGTATGAATGGGTATGACAACAAGGAAGTGTTTAATCTCTGCCTTAGCTACACATACAGATAGGGCCGGACTGTGGGTGGCCAGGGACTCTTATTTTGTGGCATATTGCACAAACATGGTGCAACACTGAATGGAGGGACAGTGCCAGGGTACTCCAGGCACTGTAACCAATTCAAAGAGACAAAGTGGTTAAAGTAACCCTTTAACTTTGATTTTACATCAATAACGATTTCGACTTCAGTGACGTTACCGAGAGAAAAAGGTTATTATTTAAAAACGTGATATTGGCTATAAATAAGAAAATATTTACAATCAAATGTCATTGCTGGATTGTAATTTACATTTTATTTTGAACCATATTTTCCAATAAGGTTTCTCAGTTCCCCTTGGTTAGTTTGGCATTAAATGTACAAATCACTGTTTAATCCAAGACAAATGTATTGAATACTGAATTAACTGAATTAAACTTATTGAATATTGAATTAGCCCCATAGACTGTCTGCACCAGCACAGTCATTCCAAGTTGTCTTTATATTGACATGGTGATATTTAAGGTGCTTTATTTAAATATAAAGATATATTTTCTCATCAAGTGGCTGAAGTCACTTTGAAAAGATACAACCCCTATATTCTCACCTGATGTCAAAAGCAGAACCCATATAAGATGGCCTTCGAGTCTCTGCAGTGGAAGTGGTGTAGGGAGGCTGGGGGTCTGAATCATTCCAGTACAGGTCTTTCTCTAATGGGGGGAGGTTCTGGTGCATCTCATCCACTGCTAAAAGAGAGACCTACCAGAGGAACACATTAATAACTTAAAAGAACTCTCTATATTCATCTGAAAGCAGGAAAAATCTGTAAGATTTAATGAGATTAGAGACAAAACTCAAGGTGTGTAACTAAACAAAAGTGAAGTCGAAAAGCAGAGAAAAACAAAGTCTCTGGATTTTGAATGGCTGACTCCAAATTGTTAAACATGTGTAAGATGAAACTGTTTTACATACCTGGAAATTTCTATCAATTAACCAGTTTGTCTCAAAGTCATCATCGTCCTGTCCAAACGGGTTGATTAGCTGTTCAGCCACCTGCATATAGACACATAATCAATAATCCAGCTCTTCCAACGGGAAGAAGGAATGATAGGAAGATCCGTCTCTGATACCTTTAACCAGCCGGCATAGAAGAAGAATTGTAGCAGGGTGAAAACGGGGATGTAGAGATCTAATTCGTGGCCAGGGTATCCTTTCTGAGGGTCTAGGAACTGACGACCAATCAGACAAGCCAGGAAAAAACTATAAACGGCTACTGTAACCACCTGTTGGAAGAGGCAGTCATAAAAGGGACAGAACACAACTGGGAAAAAGCCATGGGAAAAACACGAAACATTACATGCAAGAAAACATATTCAGTTGTATTATGGGACATGTTACCTGGGTGTACACTAGTGGGATGCTGACCCAATCATAGCCAAACAATCTCCCACATTTTGTGCGCAAAGAAATCAGCTCCTGCGATAAAGAAAAGTCACACGTTTCAGAGAAAGATTAAGATGATTAAGATCGTACTAGGCAGGTTACCAGTGTTGACAACCCTTAACCCTTAGTACTTGTCTAAATATCTTATATTCTTAGTATTAATTGGGATCAAGCTTGACAAAGTATCTTTATGGCAGCCACACCCTCGTTCAATCCCTGGACACTAGGCAGCTGCGTTAGGCCACCTAATCCCTGGACACTAGGTCACCTAATCCAGCTCCGTTCAGCCCCTGGACACTAGGTCACCTAATCCAGCTCCATGCAATCCTTGGACACGAGGTCACCTAATCCGCTCTGTTCAATTCCTGGACACTAAATCACCTAATCCCGCTCCGTTCAGTCCCTGGACACTAGGTCACCTAATCCAGCTCCGTTCAATCCCTGGACACTAGGTCACCTAATCCAGCTCCCGTTCAATCCCTGGACACTAGGTCACCTTATCCAGTGCCCGTTCAATCGCCGGAGACTAGGTCACCTAATCCACCTCCGTTCAATCCCTGGACACTAGGTCACCTAATCCAGCTCCGTTCAATCCCTGGACACTAGGTCACCTAATCCAGCTCCGTTCAATCCCTGGACACTAGGCCACCTTATCCAGCTCAGTTCAATCCCCAGACACTAGGTCACCTAATCCAGCTCAATTCAATCCCTGGACACTAGGTCACCTAATCCAGCTTCGTTCAATCCCTGGACACTAGGTCACCTAATCCAGCTCCGTTCAATCCCTGGACACTAGGTCACCTAATCCAGCTCCGTTCAATCCCTGGACACTAGGTCACCTAATCCAGCTCCGTTCAATCCCTGGACACTAGGTCACCTAATCCAGCTCTGTTCAATCCCCGGACACTAGGTCACTTAATCAAGCTCCGTTCAATCCCTGGACACTAGGTCACCTAATCCAGCTCCATTCAATCCCTGGACACTAGGTCACCTAATCCAGCTCCGTTCAATCCCTGGACACTAGGTCACCTAATCCATTTTAGTTCAATTCCTGGACACTAGGTCACCTAATCCATTTTAGTTCAATCCCCGGACACTAGGTCACCTAATCCAGCTCCGTTCAATCCCTGGACACTAGGTCACCTAATCCAGCTCTGTGCAATCCCTGGACACTAGGTCACCTAATCCAGCTCTGTTCAATCCCTGGACACTAGGTCACCTAATCCAGCTCCCGTTCAATCCCTGGACACTAGGTAATCTAATCCAGCTCTGTTCAATCCCTGGACACTAGGTCACCTAATCCCGCTCTGTTCAATCCCTGGACACTAGGTCACCTAATCCAGCTCCATTCAATCCCTGGACACTAGGTCACCTAATCCAGCTCCGTTCAATTCCTGGACACTAGGTCACTGTCATTAAAAAACTGTTCCAGCAACCAGTAAAACATTGCTGACTACACTACATCTTCCTATATAAAATATAACTGCTCATCGCCTTCTGTATTTATAAAGTGCTGGCACAATACATGGCGGATTACTCGAGAAGAGAGCATTCTACTGTTTAACCAAGATGGGGTGGGGTTCACACTGTGTTCATGATAGCAGAGAGAAGAGATCTCGTTGAGTTCAATATCACCGAGAAAATCCCATGATCACAACGTATAACCTTGCGAAAAATGTAAAAGGTTCAAACTGACGCTCATTCCATGACCTTCTGAACATCTCTTCCCATTGGACACATATATAGTTATAATCTGTCCGAAGCCTTAATTCCTTTATACAACATTTACTAGGTGACAGTGCCACACTCCCATGGCACACAATATATTCCCCACATTCCCTTATTTCCCCTCACTTTAAGAATAAGCTGTAGAACAACATTGTCGCGTATTCGTCCCTCAGTCCTAGCAATCACCGCTAGATTAGCGAACCAGACACAAGGGATCCAGAACTTGTTGTGCGAAGAGACAATTTTCTCAAGCTTTGTGCATTCAGCGACTGTCATGAAGCCTAGGGAGAAGAGTTACAGAAACATCAAATCACATACCTCATAACATTTTATATAGACAAAGAGGGACACTTTCATTTTAAGGGTGTGTGTGGGAGTGTGGCCAGGGATGGGGCTTTTCTGGGTGTGAGTGGGGGGTGAGGGGAGTATCCAGGGGGCTGTTCTGAGAGATTTTAGATGGCTTACTAATAACAATTTATACAACTAAAATGTAATTAATAAAAAGAACAATGTGTCTTAGTTACACAGACTGATTTCTAAAAACATTTATTGTAGACACATTACTGGGAGTATTATTGCTGTTATACACTCAAACACATTACTGGGAGTATTATTACTGTGGAGCTCTGTTATACTCTCAGACACATTACTGGGAGTAGTATTGCTGTGGAGCTCTGTTATACTCTCAGACCCATTACTGGGAGTATTATTGCTGTGGAGCTCTGTTATACACTCAGACACATTACTGGGAGTATTATTACTGTGGAGCTCTGTTATACTCTCAGACACATTACTGGGAGTAGTATTGCTGTGGAGCTCTGTTATACTCTCAGACCCATTACTGGGAGTATCATTGCTGTGGAGCTCTGTTATACACTCAGACACATTACTGGGAAAATTATTGCTGTGGGGCTATGTTATACACTCAGACACATTACTGGGAATATTATTGCTGTGGAGCTCTGTTATACACTCAGACACATTACTGGGAGTATTATTGCTGTGGAGCTCTGTTATACACTCAGACACATTACTGGGAGTATTATTGCTGTGGAGCTCTGTTATACACTCAGACAAATTACTGGGAGTATTATTGCTGTGGAGCTCTGTTATACACTCAGACACATTACTGGGAGTATTATTGCTGTGGAGCTCTGTTATACACTCAGACACATTACTGGGAGTATTATTGCCGTGGAGCTGTGTTATACACTCAGATACACCAACAATATGGAGCTCCTAGAAAAGAGGGTTTTTTTGGGCCCAAAACAGGGACTGTCCCTCCTAAATATGGACACTTGGGAGGTATGAATCACATACATTTGCTGTTTCTAAATAAAGCTAGATTGGATTATTCCCCTAACATTCAGTTCTCGCTTATCCAGTTTTACCAACATTCCTGCCCATCCATCCATCTCGGTATTTATAGTGTACACAAACACTGCAATACATGTATACCGTGCGGACCTGCATTCACAACATGCTGCAGTGTAGGGAAGCGCTTGTAAACGGCAGTGCTAACAGAGCGCAGAATCATCAGGGCCGACAGGTTGGAGTAGCGCATCAGTGTGCGACGCAGCATCTTGCCTCTTTCGTCCGTGCCATGCACATTACTGGACACCAAGAACATGAGATGATCCTGCCACGGCACGCTTTCATACTGTCCCCACCAGCGAGACACAACTAACGTCACATAGAATCCTACGCAGGGGAACAGCAGATTTATCAAAATAGTCAGCGTGATATACAAACTGTGAATACATCTGATTGTACAAACACCGTTAGTATTCTCTACTCGGAAAACGTATTATTCAATGCTTATTATGCCATTGCTTTACTTCTTACAACTTTGTGTATTTTACCCATTCCCCTTTAAACGTACTGGGTCCGATCCGATATGATAATGCATTTCTTACGGCTTGCCCGTTATATCCAATGACATGCCAACATACGTCTGAGGAGAATTGCAGAACTGAATACCTAGACATTATTTAAATTTTACCATTAGATATCTCTTTTATATTTTAGTTACAAGATGTTCCATAGGAGTCCCCACATCTCCTAACACTGGGAGCTAAGCCTTCCACACGGGAGATGCTGGGGAGGAGGCATATTGGTGACACATCGCTCTTCACTATGGCAACATCTCAACAATGGTTTTTGGAGTCTTTTCTATGGTGTTCCCAGAAACAAATCAATTGACAAAAAACTAAAAAAATAACAATTTTTAATAGGGCCCTGGGAGTCTCAAATTGGGGCTCTCCACCAGATCACCCATTCTTTGTATGTGAATCTAGGTTATTGCAGTGCAAGTGAAAAAAGAAAAAAGAATAAAAATTCAAAATCTTCTTCTGTGGCACCCAAATCTATCAGACCCTCTTTTCTATCCTCGTGTTCCCCACTTCTAGGAGGTTACCCACTTTTTTAGTGTTTGCAAAAAAATCCCAGCACAGCAATACAATATCAAGCTATTGTCTAAACTGAGAATTATTCAAAGTAAGTTTCACATTTAAGACCAGACTAGATGAACTGAAAGCATCGCTGATGGAATTTTGCCATTTTTGCTCTTTTGAAAGTTACATTTAAAATTCATTTTGCATCCACTTTGAACTCTCACTTTTGTAAATGAAATAATCTGTCAGAGTTCTAAATAATTATTCTTTTCGGAAATCCCTCCCACAGCCACACCACTAATCACAAAGTATCTCTCTGTACTACGTCGGCCTATTCACTAAACTAAAGTCAATTCAAAGCTTCTAATTTCAGGACAAACTGAAAAAACTGCCTAAAATGGACAATTTTGGCCTAAAATCTAAAATGCTGTTTGAATTGCCACAGTTCACTTTGAATAACCCTGTAAATGGCAGCAATAATGAATGTTTTATTAGTCAATTGCACCATCCTCTCTAGTTCAGTGGAGACTGCTCTAAATGAACACTTCAAGCACCATAACCACTACAGCTCGCTGGAGTGGTTATGGTGCTAGGAGTGTCCTGGCGTCCCCCCAAGTCTGTTTTTGAACAGTTTAAATTATTACTTGGCTTTTTGATGAAAACGAACAGGATGATGATGTAAATGACTTTTTTTGTATGTTAGAGCTAAAATGCTCCATCGCACATCGTAAGTGACTGCACGCGGTCAAATAGCGTAGCGAAAGTCTGCTTTTCAGTTTGCTGATGTCTTTTTGACCATTTGCTATATGACCCCAAACGCCGCCATACCCAGAACAAAGGACACAGGGATCAGCTCTGCGTAGTTGTTGCAATACAGAGCCACCTTCTCAAAGTAAGTCCTCTGCTGCTCATTAAGTAGAACCCTGTAGGATAGAAAGAGAATGGTCACTGGTGGGATCTGGACTTCATTTACCTTCACACTGAGTAATGAAGGGGAACAATAGTAAATTATCTTAAAGCAGATAAGGATCATTGCAGTCAAGTCATTCACCATTACAAGTTATACACACAACACTCCTGGTTTTATTAACACACATAATGTCCTCCGATTATTTATTTACATATGTACTTAGTTCCCTGGGGTCCCACGTCCAAGGACAACAGAGAATGGAGTCTATTGGGTGGAATCAGACGGATTTACAAACACATATTAATTCACCTTACTTTCAATTTTATTGCTGTGGAGCTTTAAGTACACAATATGGAGCTCCTAAAAAAAGGGACTGACATAGCAAAAAGGGACAGAGGGGTTTGGACACAAACTATGGACTGCCATTCATAAATAGGGACTTTGGGGAGGTGTGAGGTTATCTTGTGGTTGTCTTTACCAATATTTGCGCTTTGTACTATATAGATATATATACTCTCTGTAATGTTTCAGTTGTGTTAGTAAATTGCCACGTTCGCCTCATTGACACCTTTTTATATAAGTACATAACCACATCCTTTATGCTATCACTGTGTTTTGCTAGCCTTGCGCTCTGCAAAATTATAAAACATATTTACTTGTGAATTAATTGTTGTAAATTCAAATGGAAAATTTTTGCCCAAAATGGCTAACTTGGAGAATATTTCCAATTTGCCTATTTTAAATTAAATGTAAAATTCACTTTGGATTGGTGTTCATGATATTTCACGTGTTTGTAAATAATGCCGCAAGCTCTACACAGACATAGTCAAGATATATTTATTACCATTTATCTTTAACCTGGGCTGTTAAACAGGTACCTGTATGTGGCACTGATGAGAAAATAGCAGCTGATGAAGATGAGAAACTCTTGGTACAACAGTTTATAGATACTGCCACGCCATCGGAGAAGCAAACGGGAGAAGGTGCCCAGCTTTGCATCAGCAACACGATTACTGTATGTCACCGTCATGGGCTCGTGTATGTGTGAACACTGATACACCTGGAACTGTGAACATGAAAATTAAGTCAAAAATAGCATTTGGTCTGTTAATTGTATGTTTTGTCAATATTGTGTAAAGTGGACATGAGTAGGAGCCAAGCGGGCACACTTTTCAATTACTTTTTATAAAATGTAAATCATGTTGGTTTTATTAAATAGACACTATAGTCACCAGAACCACTATAGCTTAAGGTGTCCATAGCCTGTTCCTGCAGTATAGTGTTAGCACTATAAACACTGCCGTTTCAGAGAAAAGGCAATGTTTGCATTGCTGTCTAGTAACACCTCTGGTGACAGTCACTCAGATGGCCACTAGAGATGACTAATAGACCAGTGCTGTATAAAGTGCAGCACTGGGGTTCACTGTCTCCACCCTCTGCATGGAGGCGCTTAAACGTTCCCCATAGAGATGCATTGATTCAATGCATGTCTATGAGGATATGTTGATTGGCTAAGGTGGAGTTTTGCTGCACATTTGCAATTGGCTCCCTATGCTTTCACGATTGATGATCTCCAGCCAGCCGCTGCAAGACCGACACAGCATGGGAAAAAAGACAAGTAATCTCACCTTTTCCATGGGATCGGAGGGTGGCCTGTCACCTAAACAGTTAATTAAACACTATAGTGTTCCTTTAATAAACAGTGCATTGTGATGAATAGCCAATTTGTAAAAACAGCTAAATTGTCAAATGTTTCCCGTGCAAATAATTTGGTCTTAATTTTGCCATTATTTTTTAATACACCATTCACTTTATAAATAAGGCGTACGACACTGGACAACACTTAAGTCTGCAACTAAGTCAGGGCCGTATTTAATATTGATTGGACCCTGGGCAAGCATTTTGCTTGGGCCCACTAGACCCTTCCTCCTCCCTTCCCTCCCCCCCACTAATTGGCAAGCATTTGCACCCTTTACACATTCAGATACAAAGAATGACACTCATACAGATACAAAGGGGCACACAATGAGACACATGCATACACACATATAGATACACATACACACAGATATACAGACAAACAAATAGATACACAAACAGACAAACAGACACATGCAGATACACATAGAGACCCACATGCAGACACACAGATACACATACAGATACACATTCAGATACACAGATACACATACAAACACAAATACAGACATACAAACACACATGCAGACACACAGATACACATATAGACACACAGATACACATACCGACACACAGTTACACATACAGAGACACAGATACACATACAGGCACACAGATTCACATGCAGACATACAGACACACATGGAGATACACAGATACTCAAATAGAAACACAGATACACATATTCAAATACAGAGACACATATACACATACAGAGACACAGATCCACATATAGAAACACAGATTCACATACAGAGACACAGATCCACATATAGAAACACAGATTCACATACAGAGACACAGATACACATACAGAGACACAGATCCACATATAGAAACACAGATTCACATACAGAGACACAGATACACATACAGGCACACAGATTCACATATAGACACAGATGCAGACATACAGAGACACAGATACACATATAGACACACAGAGATAAAGTAAATTTTTTAGCCACTCTCCTGTTTCCTATTTTTATGGTGCAGAAGGGTGGCTGCCCTGGGGTCCAGTGGCTGGCTCTCACTCAGCACTCCACTCCTCTCTTCCTCCCTACCTCGTAGTGCTTGGTGTTAGCTGGAAGGAAGTGACCAGATCGCACTATTAAAGGACTGCAATGCTGACCGGGCCCCTGAGGACATAATGTTATCGGATGGCATTAAGTGCATGTGGGCCCACAGCTTGCAATCATTTATTTCATGATCATTTGCCCTGCATTAAAGATGGCCCTGAACTAAGTATATAAAGCTTTTGGAGTTTGCTATTAGCTCCTGTTCAATTTATCATGAATCTGTGAATCTCTCTTTCAAAGATTTGCTTCAAATAGTATAAAACAAAAAAGGAGTAGCTTACTATTTCACAGGGTAACAAAATCATTTGTTAAATGAAATTTCATTCCTGTCTTCATAATTACATAAACTTTAAAATACATAACATAATAATCAGCAGATTTATTCTTTGAAGGGAACATGTGCTTGTTACAGGGACGCTATAGGCACCAAAACCACTATAGTGCCAGGAAAACAAACTTGTTTTCCTGGCAATGCTTACCTTTCTCCAGTGCTGGGCTCCCTCGCCGCTGGGGAACTCTCCTCCCTCTTCCGATGTCATCCGCCGAATGCCCATGCGCAGCAAGAGCTGAGCGAGCATTCAATCAGTCCACAGGAAAGCATTCTCAGTGCTTTCCTATGGACATCAGCATCTTCTCACTGTGATTTCCACAGTGAGAAGCGCGGAAGTGCCTCTAGCGGCTGTCAATGAGAGAGCCATTAGAGGCTGGATTAACCCTATTGTAAACATAGCAGTTTCTCTGAAATTGCTATGTTTACAGCTGCAGGGTTAAAACCTGGGGGACCTGGCACCCAGACCACTTCACTGAGGTCTGGGTGCCTATAGTGGTCCATTAACGCAGCAGTTTTGGTGTATAGATCATGTCCCGGCAGTCTCCCTGCTCCATCCTTTGCCATTAATATAGAAGGAAGACCCACTTTTGGTCATAGCTATTCATGTGCTATCTGATGTTGCTAGATCAATAAAAAGTTAAGAATTCAATGTGAATTTCAAGTTTAAGACTACCATAGCCAAATAAATATATGAGTATGACTTAGAGAATTTTTAAAGCTCAAATATTTTGTCTTTACATTTTTAAATTCACTTTAAATTCACTTTGAATTCTTACTTTAGTAAATAGTCCTGGTAGTGTTGTTGCCCATGAGGCTGGAAAATCTTTACTATAGACTCTGGCAGGGCCGGAACGTCCTATACGCTAAGTCCAGAATTTACCACAGCCCGCTAAGTCAGGACCCCTCTCCCAGTCAAGCACCTCCACAGCGCAAGGGCGCGTCATTCACTTGCTCCCGCCCCTTGCCCTGTATGTGGGGACAAGGGGGAGGGAGAAAAACAGGAAATGGGGCTTGGGAAAAAAGTGTCAGCCGCCGGGTGCAGTAAAGAAGACAGGAATGAAGAGCAAAGTGCAATGAAGGTAAGGGAGAATGCGCAGTGTGTTTTATAGAATGTGTGTGAGTATGTTTCAATCAATATGCTTGTGTATGTCTGTCTGCTTGGGTCTGTGTGTGTATATATGGGACTATGTGCGTATGTATGGGACTGTGTGTGTATGTATGGGTCTGTGTGTGTGTGTATGTATGGGTCTATGTGTGTGTGTGTATGTATAGGTCTGTGTGTGTATGTATGTATAGGTGTGTGAATGGGTCTCTGTGTGTCTGCATGGGTCAATGTGTGTGTATGTATGGGTCTGTTTGTTTGTATGGGTCTCTGTGTGTGTATGGGTCTCTGTGTGTATAGGTCAACGTGTGTCTGCATGGGTCAGTGTGTGTCTGCATGTGTCAGTGTGTGTGTCTTTGTGAGTCAGTGTGTGTCTGCATGGGTCAGTGTGTGTGTGTGGAGGGGGGTCAGTGTGAGTATATGTGTATGTGTGTGGGTCAGTGTGTGTGTCTGTATGGGTCAGCGTGTGTTTGTATGGTACATTGTATATAAGTTTGCATGAGTGGGTGGAACAAATATGGCGGCAATTTTCTTTTTGCCTACGGCGGCAAAAATCCCTGCACCGGCCATGGACTCTGGCCTCCATCTAATCCATGTGTAGGGACCAGGAGTGGTCATCAAACTAAAATCAGTACTCCAGGATGTCACAAACAACTATCCAAAGGATCTTCAAGTATGTCTTGCATTGGCTAATGTTCATTGCTCCACCATAAGGGAAAATGGAATGCTGAATCCAAAAAAGAACCTCATCCCAAACATGAACAATGACTCAAAGACGTGGAGAAACCCCAGCTGAAATAGTGTCAGTTGGAGGGAAGACTTGGCCAAACCCCAGCTGAAATAGTGTTGGTTGGAGAGAAGACTTGGCCAAACCCCAGCTGAAATAGTGTTGGTTGGAGAGAAGACTTGGTCAAATCCCGGCTGAAATATTGTCGGTTGGAGGGAAGACTTGGCCAAACCCCAGCTGAAATAGTGTCGGTTGGAGGGAAGACTTGGCCAAACCCCAGCTGAAATAGTGTCGGTTGGAGGGAAGACTTGGCCAAACCCCAGCTGAAATAGTGTCAGTTGGAGAAGACTTGGTCAAACCCCAGCTGAAATAGTGTTAGTTGGAGGAAGACTTTGCCAAACCCCAGCTGAAATAGTAGGTTGGAGGAAGACTTGGCAAACCTTCCCCAGTTGAAATAGTGTTGGTTGGATGGAAGACTTGGCCAAACCCAGTTGAAATAGTGTTATTTGGAGAAGACTTGTTCAAGCCCCAGCTGAAATAGTGTTGGTTGGAGAAGACTTTGGTAAACCCAGCTGAAATATAGTGTGGGTTGGAGGAAGACTGGCCCAAACCCCAGCTGAAACAGGTGGCCGGTTGGAGGAGGGAAGACTTGGCCAAACCCCAGCTGAAATAGTGTTGGTTGGAGAAGACTTGGTCAAACCCAGCTGAAATAGTGTCAGTTGGAGAGGAAGACTTAGCCCAAACCCAGCTGAAATAGTGTTGGTTGGAGAGAAGACTTGGTCAAACCCCAGCTGAAATAGTGTTGGTTGGAGGGAAGACTTGGCCAAACCCCAGTTGAAATAGTGTTGGTTGGAGAGAAGACTTGGCCAAACCCCAGTTGAAATAGTGTTGGTTGGAGAGAAGACTTGGTCAAACCCCAGCTGAAATAGTGTTGGTTGGAGGGAAGACTTGGCCAAACCCCAGCTGAAATAGAGCTGGTTGGAGGGAAGACTTGGCCAAACCCCAGTTGAAATAGTGTTGGTTGGAGAGAAGACTTGGCCAAACCCCAACTGAAATAGTGTTGGTTGGAGGGAAGACTTGGCCAAACCCCAGCTGAAATAGTGTTGGTTGGAGAGAAGACTTGGCCAAACCCCATCTGAAATAGTGTTGGTTGGAGGGAAGAGAGCAGTTCATGCAACACAGTGAGAACAGATCACAGTAATATTGTCAGCACGGATTTATTAACAGGTACTGGAAACATTTGGTTGAAGACTTTATTACTACAAAACGTGGACATACCAACTAGCTGATTGCGAAATCTAATACATCTGAATGTGAATATAATTTGAAATAGTTTAATGGAGACTGTAACGGATCGCCTGGCACCCCGACTGGGTACCTCCGTTGAAGGATGCTCCTAGCGCTTCCTGAGGACTCCAAGCACTCTGGCAGACACCACAATCACCGAACCGGAGAAACAAATAAATTCTCCCAAGCATATGAATGCTGTAGACAGTTGAATAGGAACCATACTAATAGGTTTACTCTCCTAGCAGTCAAACTGGAACAGCATACAATAAATCCTTCCCCCAATAATGAGACGACACTTCACTTTGAGGGTTAAAACAGGAACTCCCTGTACTGTCACATACAGTCTCTTTTATTCCCAATCCATAAACATAGTACAGCCCACAGGGCGTTACAAAACAACCAATCAATCCGTACAATACACCCAGACACTCCCACACAAAATCCTCCCCTCTGCAGGTGATATGATTACTGAACACAATGGGTAATCTCATTATCACCTGCAGAGGAATACAGTTTTTACACAATATTTCTAACTTCTAAAATATACATGTCACAAACATAAAACATACATTTTCATAATCAATCCATTCAGGGGAACAACATATTAAAAAATGGCACGAATCAGACAAGGGGTTCAAAAGTTAGTAAAAAGTCCTTTGTGACTAAATGAAGCATGGCTTTCTGGCCCAAACCAGTTTCAGAGTCTTCTATCCTGAGATAAGTAATTCAATTATCTCCCAGGATAGACACAAGACTCCATTAAGCACATGGTTGCAAAAAGACACAAAACACTTTAAAATACATAAAGTCACATTTATTACATAAAACACAGACATTTCACATATCCCCAGAAAGCTGGGATCTGAGTGCACATTATTAAGTGAATGGCGCTCAGACTACACGAATACAGTTTAATCGCCATGGAGCCAAAGTCTTTACAGTCAGTTTCATACAAATGGGCTCCATGGGATTCCTATCTGGGGTATAACACATTCAAACACATCTACCGAACACCAGGCAGAAAAGCACGAATACAGCTTTTCTGCAGGCAAAAATAAAGTCTTTTAAAAGGGGGCCATAGTCAGATGGCAGGAGGCTGGCAACCAGGCTTCTCCAGTGCACAGTGGCGAGGTTGGTTTCGCCACAGAGACATATAAAACATAATTACATTTTTATTTATTTGATCATGTTGTTTATATCTATTTTGAGGACATATTAGATCATATTTTGGGTGAAATTATTGCAATTAATGTATTGATACTATCTAGAACGGTTCACAAACTTGCTCTTGCACTCTAACACAAATAATAACATTCTTAGCACGTGTGTTCTTACCTCTTTCTCCTATCCATGTATGTGAAGGCATCATCTGACGCAAGAAGTTACAAAACTCCCTATGCCCTGTGTTTCATAGTGAAATACTGCATGCACAGACTGTAGGCACCATGATCATTTCAAATCACTGAAGAGGTCAAGGTGCTTGGAGTAACCCTTCAAAGTTCAGTCAACAGAGATAATAACTTCTAAAATAAACATGGTGTCTTGTAAGATCTTTTTGAAATTTATTATGTTTTTCTGTGTTTTTCACAGCCCAGGGAGGTGTGTCTATGGCTGCATAAAAAGAAAAATGAAAAAAGGGAACAAAACTGATTTAACTCCTAAATGGCAGAGAATTGAGCAGTGATACTACAGGGATATGATCTATGCACCAAGACCGCTTCATTAAACTAAAGTAGTTTTGGTGCTCATTTGATCTCTTTAATAAACTAATATCACCCGTGTGCCTTCCTAGTAGACACCAGACACATACCCCACACCATTTCCTTATACGAAAACATTAGGATTTATATCTAAATATCTCATACTGTCATGGTTCCCCATTTATCCCTAACACAAAGCCCAGAAGGGTTTTCTAGGAATCCATTTTAGGATTTGTGGCCCTGAACATGTTTTACACATGAAAACGCTTATATCATTCTTTATCCTAGATATTTGAAGTATATGGAACGACCCTGATGTGTGTGTATTGCAAGAGGCGAGGTGCATTAACGAACACTCTCTCCTTTTTCTCAGTTCCAATTAAGAAGTTATTAGATTTGGGAATTGGATAGAAAACAAAACAAACTTTTATAAGACAGCTGAGCAATATAATGTCGGTTGCTTGTGTGTATTATAACATCTCTACTTATTCTGCATTCTCGAATTCTCTAACTGGAATGGAACGTGTTACTTGCACTAGGTAAGAGTTTTGTGTCGGTTTATTTGGTAGAATAAAAATTGGTTGGATTTCTCTATATGAGTACAAACCAATTAACAAGCACTCAATAAGCGTGCCATGGATGAGAAGAGAGGTATGTATCTAATATGGTCCAGTCAAAATGTCTGCCTTCCTTTAGGGGACTCAGTGTAATACATTGTTTCTGTAATAAGCGGTAAAGGTACTCACATATCTAAGATGATAGTCCCATTCCAGCTCTGGTTCCAGTCTCTTTTTGTCTTCACCCCTTGAGTTCTTTTGTGGAAATGAGCTATTCCCTCCTCTGCTCCTGTGATCCCATAATTCCCTCACAGTATATTCTTTGTTGTTCCTATAATTTCTCTCCCCCTCCCAGGAACCTGTGAACAGCCGTGGGCTTAGCGTGCGCACGTCCTGGCACCAATCCCCCTGCTGAAACGTAAACTGTTTGCTCTTTAAATCTTTTCCTGTTTGGATTTTCTTTGAGATTAATAGAAACTGTACTAACAACTTCACAGTGTGATGAATATGGGTTTGTGTCATAGAGTAACCACAATAATGTGTCACTTGTACATAATACATCTATTCCTAACGGAGTCCATATTATTAACATGGACTAATGTTCTCCAAGGATGAGTAGTTTTATTTATAGCATTTGTTGATACTTGGTACATACAAAATCCTAGAGTTAGTAAACAATGAACGAAAATGACAAATGACATTTATGGAAAAACCATCCAAAGGCAACACATTTAATTTCAAACACTTTTACCTTGAGCTTCAAATGAAGGAACATTATGATCGGTAAAACCTACCCCCTTGCTTGTCCCTTTATAATTCCCCTCTCAGAAATAAGGACATGTGTTCTGCCCACTGAAATTAGACTAGGTATGGACCTTGGAAATGCTAAAGTGGTATTACAGAATAAGGAGGGCTAAGTACCAATAGCATACAGAATAAAGATGGACTTTGCCCCAATAGAGTTACAGTATAAGAAGGGCTGTAATCCAGTGAAGGGCCATGAACCAAAGGTAGTACAGAATAAGAAGGGCCATGTTCCTCTAAACTTTCAGTATTATTATTATTATTTTCTATAGCAGCAACATATTCCACAGTGCTGTACAATGGGTGGACTAACAGACACGTATTTGTAACCAGATGAGTTGGACACACAGGAACAGAGGGTGTAGAGAGCCCTGCTCAATGAGCTTACAGTAGGGGAGCAAGGACAAAACCTTGAGGAAAACAACAGACAGGGGTTGCAGAAGATAGGAAGAGCCAAAAATCTAAACACTGAAAGAGAACTGGGAGAGGTAGGAGGAGAACCTGGAAAAGGTAGAGTCTCATAAACTGAGATTATTGAGGATGGAAGTTGTTGATGATCACCAGTGTCGAAAGCAGCAGAAAGGTCAAGGAGAATTAGGATAGAGTAGTGACGACTGGATTTAGCAGCAATTAAATCATTGGATACTTTGGTCAGGGCCTTTTTGACAGAGTGACGATCAAGGAATCCAGGCTTAAGTGGGTAGAGCAGAGAGTTGGATTCAAGGAAGCCGGTCAATCTAGCATACACAACTCTCCCTCAAATGGTAGGAGCGAGATAGGGTGGTAGTTGGATGGGGAGTTAGGATCAAGGTTGGGCTTTTTTAGAACTGAATTGATGAGTGAAGGAAATATATCAAAGGAGAGGGAGAGATTTAATATTTTAATGAGTGGAAGAGCAATAGAGAAAGACAAAGTGTGAGTGAGATGTGAGGGAATAGGATTGAAGGAACAAGTGGTGGGGCTGGAGGACTAAAGAAGAGCAAAAACCTTCTTTGGTATAACGGGTGCAAATGAGCATAGAACACATGAGGGGGAAGGTTTGGGGGAAGTATTGGTAGGGGTGGGAGAGAGATTAGAGATATCTTCCCTGATCGCAGAGAGTAGAGGTGTTGTCACGTGGTAAAAAAGCTTGAGGTGCTCTAACCAAATTCACCTGTCTGGTAGAGAGAATTTTACCCCAGGTACACAATCATTATCCATCTGTCCACATGTCCACCCATCTACCCATCCATCCATTTATACATCTGTCCATTCATCCATCCCTCCATCCATTTATCCCTTCACCCATCCATCCTTCCATTCAATCCACCCATCCATCCATTTATCCATCTGTCCATTCATCCATCCCTCCATCCATTTATCCCTTCCTCCATCCATCCCACCATCCATTTATCCCTCCACCCATCCATCCATCCATCCAATCCACCCATCCATCCAATCCACCCATCCATCCAATCCACCCATCCAATTATTCATCCACCCATCCATTCATCCATCCATTCATCCAATCCACCCATCCATTCATCCAATCCACCCACCCACCCATTCAATCCACCCATCCATCCATCCAGCCATCCTTTCATCCTCACATCCATTTAATCCACCCACCCACCCATCCATTCTACCCATCAATCCATGTAATGTAATTATCCATTTTATTCATCCACCCATATATTGTATTCAATTATCCATCCACCCATCTATTCCATCCACCTAATTTATCTATCCATATGCTAGAGATAAAGTCCCTTGAGAATTTCCAGTTAAGGGAGAATTAAGACAGTTAGAGTATAAACGGTAGTAGGATAATGCCGAGCAGCGATAGAGCATTTATAGAAACATAGAAACATAGAATGTGACGGCAGATAAGAACCATTCGGCCCATCTAGTCTGCCCAATTTTCTAAATACTCTAGCCTTATCTTATAGCTAGGATAGCCTTATGCCTATCCCACGCATGCTTAAACTCCTTTACTGTGTTAACATCTTCCACTTCAGCTGGAAGGCTATTCCACGCATCCACTACCCTCTCAGTAAAGTAATACTTCCTGATATTATTTTTAAACCTTTGTCCCTCTAATTTAAGACTATGTCCTCTTGTTGTTACCTCTTAATTTGCCAACTGTCAAAATTGAAATTAATTCATTTTTCTTTACAACCAAACTGAAGTAAATTGACAAACGCATTGCACAAATACGTAACAAAATATTGTAAGAAAAATGTGTCATACGTTGTTCATACATAGTTACATATGCCATGAGTTTTATCCCAATTTTTTTAAAAATGTGTGCCATGTCAAGAGTGGGTGATGATGATAGTCATTAGCCAGGTGTAAACAGGAGAGAGTTATGCTAATAACATCATAGTGGAAGTGACAGAATCTGTCTGAAACAATGAAACCTGGCATTAGTTAAACTGTCTTGGGTCACATGACCAAAAAGAAAGATACACGAAAGAATGAAAAACAAGCAAAGCGGAATACAGAGCACAGTTCAGCCCCATCCTTTTTGTCTTGGGGTTGCATGTTCTTCTTCAGAATTGAGCAACACCTCGTCTTTCACATAGCTTGAGCTCTGGTCAGAGGACTCTGAAAAGGAATCACCCACAATATCTGAAGTCCGTGATGCCTTAGGTCTCTTGCAAGCTCTGTTTTCCTCTAAAACGTGATCACCCCCCTGCAGACATCCATCTAAGGGCTGGACTGGGGTATGAAACTCCAGCAGCTTCTTAGAGGCAGGTAGCACAAACCTTCTTGCTTTCTAGGACCAAATTATCACAGGCTGAGCGGTTGTGGTTTTTTTCTTCTTTTTCCACTCTTTCTAATGGGGATCTTGCCCAGGGACACTAAAAATGATATTACCCTTAATGTCACTAACACTTTATAAAAACACTCTTTATGCATCGAAACTGAAACATAGAAAAAAGTTAATCTTAATTGTCTAGCTGGAGAGTTCCTTGATCAGGGGTTCTTTACCTGTGAGGTGTGCCCCCCTCCTCCATCCCAGGATGGGTAAAGGTGTTAGTGGTGAGGTTTGAGGTTCCTCATTAACATTTTGGTAATTGCTTTTTTCAGAATTTAGTTTAGATACAGATGAGTCTGATATCCAGATTAAAAAAAATGTCGGCGGCATCTTGATGATTAAAAATCGTATAATTGAAGTGTAACAGATCCCCTATACTCCGACTGAGTACATCCGCTGTTGCTCCCAAATCCCAAGCGAGGCAGTGATTAAAGCTCTAGCCTACCCAAACATCAGCCTACACTTGATGAAGGGTACAGGAAGGAATGTTTTATTCTGGCCAGATGGCCGGCTTTTATACCATTCAGGAATACAGTACACACGCCCAGGAAAACTCCCACAACACGCCCAGAATACTCCCATAAAATGGTTACAAATTCCAGTGTCAGCATGACTAGGCAATAAAGACATAAAATATTAAAACACATGAAAATACATAGTAAACATCTAGGAACCCTCACAAATATGATATCCATAGCCTGGATCTGAGCGCCCAAGTTGTCCAAATAGTGCTCAGATCCCACAATTACAGCCGAATCACCACCGGGTTAAAGTTTTGACTGACCACACATGTGGCGCCTGCCCATATTAGTCCCATAGTTTCAGTGATAGCGGTCGGTCAATTTCGGGAGTTCCAAAATGAACGAAAAGATGAATGGTTCCTCTCATAGCTAGCGTTTGTTCACCTTGTTTGTGTGAATAAACCTACCAAACAGCGCTCTGCTGTCTTGTTGCTGAACGAACCAGGCGTTTGTATACTTTTACCGGTGTTCGTGGGGTCGAGTGTCCAACTTGTAGTTCCAGACAATCGAAGACCAGGTCCCGCTGCCTGCATTCGTGCGACAAGCCACAAAGAGAGAGCACTTAAGTCTGTGGTTTATTTGTAGTTAATGAGCCAGGGGGGTGGTCGGTGTTCGGTAGATTTGTCTACCGAACGCAGGGAAAGTGTTTCTGTTTGGGAACTATATAAAACAAACCAGGGACAGTTCTTGTGAACAGAAGGGAAAAGTATTTGGCACAAGGTATATGGCCCATAGTCTGTGGGCAGGAGGCTTGCTTCCACACTCCTCCAGGAATTCGTGGCAAATGTCCATGGTAAGGAGCATTTGTCACACAAAGTAAAATGAAGACTGCTGTTATCGAGTGCGGTTATTTTTAGTAAAATTAACTGTCCGTTTAGTTTACTCTTGTTCCAAACCCCCATACTATAAATGACTCAAAGCACTTGCTTACAACAATGGCAAGAACGGTAGAAGAGGAGGCACATGATAACTCCGCACTCAGCAGCCGTTATTGTTAGACTGCAATGCACATCTGAATGACTGCATCAACGGCTTTTTCCAAGACTTTTTAATTTTAATTATTGTTAGCTTAGTTAACACAGGGCTTGACAAATTTGCCTGGAATCTGGGAGCCAGCTAAAAAAAGCTGTGAGCCAGGTTTTTTTTTAACTAACAAAACTTTATTTTCAACGACTAAAATACAAATCTTAAAGGGACACAATAGTCACCAAAGCCACTGCAGCAAACTTGTCTTTACTATTTCTGTGTATCTGAGGATGTTAAAATAAAATTTCTATGTCAATTGTGTATACTTTATCCTTTATTCATTTGTTTTTGGAAAGAAGGGAAGGTGTGACCCCAGACCCGGGTCGCTCAATGGAGGAAGCCGCAAGGCAGGAGATCCCTCTCAGCTCCTGTGATTGTTAAACCACCTCCAGGAGCGCTCTGAAGCTCCCAGCATCAAACAGCATACGACGGACACCACTCTGGTGTCTCGATGAAGGTAAGGGGCCGGCCAGAGCCAACACAGAGCACTATCAAGGCAAGCATGGAGAGTACGGGAAGGGAAGCAGGCTGGAGAGTACTCTCACCCACGAAGTAACCACAGCAGTCTCCATTGACACTGGGCCCGCATTCTCAGCTGGTACCCCACAATGGGAATAGGCTGACTCCACAACTGAGACTCTTGGTGCATGTTCAACCTATAGATCTCTCTTGCTGTTCCCTATTTTCTGTTTAGTTCTGCTCAGTCGATGCTCGGTTAACTGCAGTTTTCTTGGTAAACAATTTTTATTTGCGTTCCTGGAGCTTCCTGGGCTGGTAAACTTTATTCATGTTTTGCTCATAGATTTAACCTATAATCTCGGTGTTTACTCATGCATAACAAGCGCTCTCCATGTGTCTATTCATGCATCTCTAACGTGTTTTTTCTAACATTTAAATAATGCTGTTTTCTCACATGCCATGACGATTATTGCTTAAACCATGCTTGCTATTGCTGTCATTCAGCAGCAGAATGAAAACGATTCAAACTAAAACGAACTACAGGCCAATCAGCCCAGAATTTACATAGTGAAATATTCTGTGCATATTGCAGTATCCTGAAAGGGGCATCTCCGAGCTACTTGGTTCATATATCAAATAAGAAAAAGTAATTAATAGAAGTAAAAAGAGACAGAGAAGTAAAACAGTCCATAGTTTTATATTACATGTTTATTACATATAAAATACAGAAATATATAATTATAGATTTTCCCTCCTCTATTGGTCACTTCTCACATGATCTGTGAATAAAACCAACATATAGCAGCTGTCCCTTAACTAGCAATCATCCTTTTTACCATCAGTCATCTCTGTTCTTGGCACCACGGACGGAACTTAGAATTGTGAATCAGATGAACACACCCGTCCATTGTTTCATTATACATCCATATAGCGATTCAGATATGAAGTCCGGACATCCCGATAAGCGATCAAATTAGATGAATTGCCATTGAGCCAGAAATGAAGGGACAAGTCTAATAATCACAGTCCATTTTCTCCAAGCTGCACCATCATTATTGGCTAACTACCCCCCCTCTCCCCCCCCTAGTATTTTGAATCAATATCATCCAGGTTTGGAGAAAATTGATATTGATAACGCAAACATTCTAATCCTGCATTATCGATGCACGGGAAGAGAGCAGTCCTTGGGGGCAGCATACCTTCTAACATTATTAAACTCGGATGGGAGGGGTGGAGAACTGAAGGGGCTGTTGTTTTTATGTTGCTTAAATTATGTTGTTATTATTATGTTCGAGATTTGTATTAAAAAATGCATTTGGTTTCAACTAATTGTGACTCAGTGGTTCTCCTGAATTAACTCTGAAATGCTATAAGGACAAAACACGAAATAAATGAAATGGGCGATGGATGAACAGTTTTGTAATTCAGAATTCTATCCATGCCACAAAGAAAAGGGCTAATTGATGGGGAAAAAGAAGATTAACGGCTGGGAGAAAGCCACTAAATGGTGATTTAATTCACAGATTTATATATTAATACAATAATACAGTTTTTTTTAATGCTCCTCCTTCATACCCCTATTGGTACCTCTTTTAACCTGATATGTGAGACAAATAGAGGAAATATTTATATTATTAACATATTTAGCATTAAACTGATTGGCCCGTTTTTGCTCCTTTTTTGTTTGTCCAAATCATGTTTCGTGCAACAATTACATTAACGAAATTAATCCGAGCTGTACCCATCACATGGACGAATCCAGAATCGACCAATGCTATTTTTTGGTGGGTAAATCAATTCAGCTGAGCCAGTTTTTTGTCTATTAAGTTCAACTTGCCAACTAGTGAGCCAATTCAGCGAAAAGTTGCATCGTTCTGTGGTATACACGTAATCACAGCAATAAACTATGATATTCCCTTTCTGCAGACGGACATTATAGTATTTAGGAATGCATCTTTTATCAAAGTAAATTTCATATAATCTCAATATATCATTCCAAGGACATTACACAGCAAAATGAAACATGGGGGATGGCTGGTGCAGAGGGACATTATAGTATTAGGAATACAGCTTTATCAAAAAAGTTTCATATAATCTCAATATATCATTCCAAGGACATTACACAGCAAAATGAAACATGGGGGATGGCTGGTGCAGAGGGACATTATAGTATTAGGAATACAGCTTTATCAAAAAAGTTTCATATAATCTCAATATATCATTCCAAGGACATTACACAGCAAAATGAAACATGGGGGATGGCTGGTGCAGAGGGACATTATAGTATTAGGAATACAGCTTTATCAAAAAAGTTTCATATAATCTCAATATCATTACACAGCAAAACGAAATACTGTTTCAATATACAGAATAACTCAATTCTCGAATGTTGCCACGAAGAGTCTCATTTCCTCTGGTGGTGAAATTGTGGAATAGCATCTAAGAATGTAAATAAGTTGGACATCGACTGAATGAATCGTGGTAGTCAATAGTCATCTCAAAATAGCATGGTACTGGCTGAATTCACAACCTCCTTTGCAATCATTGTTGAAAATGTGTTGAAAAGTATATGTGTTTTATATGGGGGCAGGAGGAGGGTTTTATTAATTAGCATCTTCCATGCAATTTCTATTAATAAATATAAAAGTTACATAACATTATATAAAAGTGATACAAATGATATTTTGTAAGGTTACTGGCAAGTTAATCATTATACAGAAATTATGAACAGACTACTCATACTTTAACTGTACAACTTTGCATAATCTGCTACAAATGTTATCGGTGAAACACAAAATAAATGATTTCATTTTAAATCTTTAGTGAACCAAAACAAATGTGTCTATACATTGCGCGCACTGCAATAACAATGCCATTGTTCTTAATTGGTGTAGTAACTGTAACTAACCTGGATTACGGAGATTTATGCTTTGTATAATTGTCCTTCTGTGTGTTATTTGTGGGAGGTAAAGCTCCGTCTGCAGACTGTGTATAATCTGTTTCAAACCCGTATGTGTATGAGTGTTCAAATTCTGTGATTTGCAAAAAATGTATATGTTCATTAATGATGTCATAAATGGGGTACTTTCTGTCATCCCCGTTAGAGGGACAATCATATAGAGTGGTAGCTTAAGGTTTGATACGATTGTATCACAGGGTAAGAGAAAGAAGGCAGACAAAGCTATCAGGAACATGACAGAGGCCCAATGAGTAAGAGGAGACAAAACACCCAAGTAATGAGCGAGGAGTGAAATATGGGATTATGGATAAAAACCTGGATACGACTTGCGATTATGGGTACATGACTGTAACCAGAGAAAGGTATACGGAAAAGCGGAATATAGATGCCTACTATGCACTCCAAAACAAAACGAAATCATAAAAATCAATATTTTGTAGATTTACCCCCAATAAAAACACTAATGTATGTATTTATGCATTTTTCAACAGGGTATAACTAAAACAGCTTGAGAAAGGTCCAGATCTCTTGTCTTCAGCCCTAGCAAGCCCCACTCCTAATGCTAAAGTCTTCTATTACATTGTGTTTTTGACAGTCTAGTGACACCTATAGGTGAAATTATTATTATTATTATGTTATTTATATAGCGCCATCAAATTTCGCAGCGCTTTACAATGGGTGGACGAACAGACATGTAGTTGTAACCAGACAAGTTGGACACACAGGAACAGACGGATTGAGGGCCCTGCTCAGTGAGTTTACATGTTAGAGGGAGTGGGGTATAGTGACAGTAACAGAGGGATTGAGGGCCTGCTCAGTGAGTTTACATGTTAGTGGGAGTGGGGTATAGTGACACAGTAACAGAGGGATTGAGGGCCCTGCTCAGTGAGTTTACATGTTAGAGGGAGTGGGGTATAGTGACACAGTAACAGAGGGATTGAGGGGCCTGCTCAGTGAGTTTACATGTTAGAGGGAGTGGGGTATAGTGACACAGTAACAGAGGGATTGAGGGCCTGCTCAGTGAGTTTACATGTTAGAGGGAGTGGGGTATAGTGACACAGTAACAGAGGGATTGAGGGCCTGCTCAGTGAGTTTACATGTTAGAGGGAGGGGGGTAAAGTGACACAGTAACAGAGGGATTGAGGGCCCTGCTCAGTGAGCTCGGCATGTTAGAGGGGAGTGGGGAGCAGTGGCACAGTAACAGAGGGATTAAGGCCCCTGTCAGTGAGCTTACATGTTAGAGGGAGGGGCAGCAGTGACAGTAACAGAGGGATTGAGGGCCCTGCCTGGGTGAAAAGCTTTACATGTTAGAGGGAGGTGGCAGTGACAGTAACAGAGGGATTGAGGGCCTGCTCAGTGAGTTTCATATGTGCCAGAGGGAGTGGGGTATAGTGGACAGTAACAGAGGGATTGAGGGCCTCCGGCTCAGTGAGCTACATATGTTAGGAGGGAGTGGGGTATAGTGACACAGTAACAGAGGGATTGAGGGCCTGCTCAGTGAGTTACATGTTGGGGAGGGAGTGGGGGTATAGTGACACAGTAACAGAGGGGATTGAGGGCTGCTCAGTGAGTTTTTACATGTTAGAGGGAGTGGGGTATGTGACACAGTAACAGAGGGATTGAGGGCCCTGCTCAGTGAGCTTACATGTTAGAGGGAGTGGGGTATAGTGACAG